CATTCTTTCTTTCTCCACTTTTGGCCTTTCTCCTCCTAATTTGAGTCTAAAACAATAAGAGAACTTTATAAAGTTGCAAACTTTATACAAAAGTGGGAAATGATCATGCACAGTTCAACTAGAAAGCAATCTTCATATTGCTTTCTAGTTGAACTGAACTAAAAAAAAAAGTTATTTTTTTTAGCTTCAAATGTAAAATTAGAATTTTTTTTTACACTTAAGTTAAAACAAAGCTGGTGGTTGTAGAGTCAGGTTAGCTTCTTAGCATGAGAAACCTTTAGGAAAGTTTGACTAAAGTAAATGTGCTTTAATTGTGAATCCAGAGTTTTTGTTAGACTGTTAAACAACACTTGAATGTGTTCTATAATATCTTTTTGACCAATTAAGATAAAAATAGGTGGTGACATTGTTAAAAATCTACTCCTGCAAAAAGAATTATAAACTCTCTGTGGTTGTTGTGTCGTAATAAAAGCATGCCTGCTTGGAGGTAGTTCTAGTGCTGTGTCACTGGCAGGTGTTTCAGTTTGGAGTCAATTGAGTGCAAACGGTGATGACAGCTGTGCTCCTCACTAATTATTTCTTGTCACTGTGCACAGATTTACTAACCAGAGGTCCTCTGGACAGAAAAGTATCAGTTGAGTCCCAAGGTCGCCTGATGTAGTCGTTTTAATGGATCACTTTGTCGTGAAAAAGATTATCTGAAGGTGTTTAGAAATATGAAATTACTATAAAAGAAGAAATGCGACATGTAGTTCTAAAATAGAAATCCTGGCCTGAGTTTATCTGTACATAGCTAAATTAGATGTCTGCCTTTTACTAAACTAGGGTCGCACAATACAATCCAGAGGACAGTAAAATTTATTGTATTGTGTATAAAATAACGTCAGTATTCAGGAGTTTCAAAGGCACAGTAGGCCCTTCAGGACACTTCCTCAGGGTAAACAAGAAGTACACACCTTTAGCATTTCTCTCCTTTCTTTGTTTTTTTGTTTTTTCAATTTGACACCACCAACGAATGTTAAGAGCTGTCGTCCAAATAACTGCCACTTTACCATTGCTTACATGTTTGTTTTTAAATGTCAGCTGAAGGCCATCTGGGCATCTCATGGTTCATTTACTGCACACAAAGATTTCTTTTGTGCTCTTTCCCAGAGAAAGGAGCTCAAAAGATCCAAAAAGACTGAATTCTAAGAGCTGTGATTGTTCTCAGGTCTTGCAGCATGTACACACAAAAAACAGGTACACTGTAAAAGTATTTTATGGGGCACTCCTCTGCTCTGTGCAAGGGGGGATATTGCATTTATAGTTATTAAGTATACACCAGTAGATCATCCATATTGCTACCAATACCATCTCTTTTAAGTGATATTGACCTGTCTTCAAATATGATGTGAGGTTTTTGCTTAATCAGTCGGGCTTCTATTAGTGTATACTCTTCTTCTACTACTTCTTCTTCTTCTTCTACTTCGTCTTCTTGTTCTACTTCTTCTTTTACTTCTTCTTCTAATACCTGCTCCATTAAGAGGTCGCTACAGTGGATCATCTGCTTAAATCTCATCCTGTCTCTAGGGTCCTCCTTCACTACATCCATCAACCTTCTCTGAGGTCTTCCTTTCTTCTGCCTGGCACCTCCATATTCAATGTCCTCTGACTCTCTCCTCTATCATATCTAACCCGTCTCAACCTCGCCTCTCTACCTTTTCCTCCAACCTTTTCCTTGAACCTGAGCTGTCCCTCTGATGCACTCATTTCTAATCCTGTCCATTCTGGTCACTGCAGATGAAAATCTGAACGTCTTCAACTCTGTCACCTCCACCTCTGCCTCCTGACTTTTTGTTAGTAGAGCTGTCTCCATGCATCATAGCAGGTCATCTACCATCTTATAAACTTTCCCTTACGCTCACACTCGCTGCCATTCTTCAGTCATTATTAGCGTATAAACACCTGTGACTATAAATTGACTATTTATACACAGGGAAAAGGTTGGGTGAGGGAGACATATTTAGCTGGTTGCAACCTGATCTTCCTGCAATCTTCTACCGGCATCTTTTTTTGATTGAAATTTGCTGGTAATATGTATGGTGTTAACCTCAGATACAGAGCTCCACTATTTATTTTGATGAACATATGCAAATACATGGGCATAAAATTAGTACGTACTTTGGAGTTTAAAGGGATTTAAGGGCAAATGTGGAGAAATAGTTTGGAAAACTGCATAATTCATGACCTACTTGAAATAATAGCATATGAAATATTCATTACCTAAATTACTTATATGTGTAATCTGCTTTTGTTGTTATGTTCAGAGGGGAAAGGGCAGCAGCGGGGACAGAGGGCCAGAACAAACAGTCTGATCTTCTTTGCAGTCGTAGCAGCGATGCGGTGTCAGCCGATGAATTATCAGTGTGAAAAATGAGCGCCATCCACCCTCACAGAAATGCTGTAATGTGACACATAGAAGTCTATTATACAAGTCAGTTTTGAATCTGCATCTTAAAGCGTGAGCCCTTTCCGAATGTTTCGGCTGCCACTCTGCCACAAAGGAAACCAGCCTCAATTACATTTCAAAGAGGTTATTCCAACATAATATATAATCTCAGTCATTTGAAGGAAGGGATTTTAAGGTTTAAAGAGTCTGTTTCTTCCCATCAAGGCAATTCAACTTTCCACCTCTTCTCTATGTAGCCCTCGTTCACGTTCACATTAAAGCACACGTACAGTAGCCTCAGAAATGCATTAACACTGATGATCAAAAGATGCTGGCCAGAGCTTTGTTGGTACATCAAACAGCACGAACAGAGGAAAGCACACAATTCCCGAGAGGAGGCACACATCAGTTCTACTGTGCCATTATTAAGTTTAATATTTACTGTACTACACTTTGTCTTCTCCCCTTTTCATAATGCTGTAATCTGAGAGAGAAGCACACACAGAGTAGGAGCATTAGTGCACACGCAGATGATTAAAAGCAATAGCTCTCAGTGAAGTTTCTTCCTCTGTCTTTGTTGCAGGCAAACGTACATGTCAAATTCGACCCAGATAATCAAAGTGCGCACACATGAAATGTCAGAGGGAAGCGTCGGGGGCGTTGCTTTGTGATTCCGAACTTTTCTTTCAGCAGCCACTGAGCCTTTCCTCTCCACAGATCTACCCAGCTGCTAACTCGGAAGAGGAGAGCAGTGTTTTTGCGTCGCCCATACTGACACATACAGTAGAAGAGAACTGCGATATTATTAACATAGCAGCACTGTGTCAGATGATGACACTCAAATTAGAAAGATGTAATCGTGTTTAGCCTGATTACAGATCTCTGCATTGTCTCACACTTCTACCATTGATTGCCGCCAGAGTATTGTCATCTCTTAAATAAGTCGATTTTACATCGGTTTTGTGTGCACGTGCGCTCGTTTCAGGCAATCCTCAATACAGAGCCACCGATGCTCTGCCAGTGGATATCTGCAGTTCTATCCCACAGAGCTTTATCCTCTTTTCTCACTAGGACATAAACCCTCTTGATGTAAATTAAACCAACTTTGGTTTGGTTCAGATTCAGGAATACATGTCATTTACATTTCAGTTTTTTCCAAGACTCGCAGATTCTGAGAGAGCTGGGGGGGTTTGTTATTTAATCAGAGAATGTGAAGAACAACTCAGAACAAAATGGTTCAAAATGTGGCTTTGTTCTGACTTTGTTTTGCAACACTGGACAGCGCTGGCTGGCTTGTCCTGTTTGCTGCTGTTTTCACTCCTCGGGTTGATTGATGCACTGAGGGACTCGCACAGCTGGAAAGGAGACAGTAAACCAAAGGAGGGAACAAAGAGTAGCAGGCCACACAGGGTGCAGCAATTAAGCAGTTTTCTTGTTGTTAATTAAAAGCAAATTAGAGACTGTGACAGGAGTTGCTGTCTAGCCTTAATTGCTGGCAGCATGCATGCCCAGCCACACCTGTTATTGCATATTGACTCATCTTGGTCCACTTTTTTTCCCCCTACGCTTTCCTAAGGGGCGGAGAGGAAAACCTGGAGATCCTGGACCCAGAGGCTCGCCTGTAAGTTATCTACTGCCACTCTCGCTTGTGTACATAGGCTCTTTCCTTTTGATTTTACATAGAAGGTCAAGATCTATAGTGCTATCGAAAATATCCAAATGCATTCGTTTCAGCTTAATAGATCATTTGTTTGGTTTGCACATCTACTCTGTCTGCCTATAACACCCAATTACCAGCAGTGAAAACAGAGTTCGGCTCAACCTTTATTAGACCGGGAATTCTCCTGAGATCACAAAAAGGTTTTTTTTTTTACTGATATCCAAATAAATTCAGACACATTAAAGAAGTTACAAATTTATTACAACTACAAAAACATATTAAAGCAAACAGTCAATAAGGCCAGCGCTGCAGAATACAAAATCTGCCCCGAAAAAGAGCAATTACACCGACATTGTTCTATGTTAACTAATTTCATGCTTTCTCGTGCTTTATTGATTTGCTCAAAATCTTCTCCCATACTGCTACAAACAGGCTACATTATCGGCACCAAACCACAAAGGGTATATTAAGGTAGCACTTTAAAATGTTTGTATTGACAAGTAGGACAAGTCTGCCTAGAGGGCCCATTGACTCCTTGAAATATGGTCTTTTCCTTAGGCGACCGAGCCAATTCCAGACGCCATTTGTGTGTTTGTGTAGTGACCCACACACTAAAGGTCACAAACACTGTGATGCGTTAAAGGAGACAGCTTGTCAGATGCTTAACTGCTCTGACGCCAGGACAAACAGGAGTGTTTGGGGATTGTGTAACTCTGATGTTTTGGGTGTCCAATTATTTTCATGCACGATTGTCTTGATTACACTCTTGATCAGAGACATAGGGTTTGTCTTATTTTATTCCATCCACAAATCGAGAGAGATTCTGTGCTGCGTCTGTTACCGGTGCCCAGGTTCAATTATCTTCATTATAATTGAGCCACTCACTGTTAAACAGTGTCTCCCACGTGTGACTCATTTTAGCCCCTGCTTCTTCCTTTTTTTTTTCTCTTTAATAACTCGTAAAGTTGTGGAACACAAAGTCGTAAGAGAAAAGAAAGGCAGGATGGAGAAGGTGTGACATTTCTAAATGGCAATGTCCTGATGATACCCTTCACATGTGCCAGATTTGCCTCCGTCCCCCGGTATTGGCATTTATGAGTCACCTGTTTTGCTGAGGTAGATCTCAGGGGCAAAATCATCTATTCAAAACACACTCCAGGGCATCACTCTCTCTTGTCCATTGGCAGCAGGACGTGTGTGCGCAGTTGAGGAGGCAGCGGTTATTTTTCAAAGTCAAATTAGCATTTGACGACAACAGGGGAGCCTGTGAAAGGCGCATAACAAAGACGCACTCAAAGATTAGCTGCCGACTAGAGGGATCCGGCCATGTCTTTATGAAAGGCAACATCAGTGCAAAGGTTAAAAAAATATATAATATATGGAAAAGCCAGTCACAGGGATATTTGCAGGAATAATTTATATCTTCATAAGGGTCAGGATAGGGTTACGATTGTTATGTATTTGTGATGAATAACATGTGCGGCGCTCGCACGAGTTTTCATATAATTGTCTTCTTATTTCGCAGGGTCCCGCAGGAGCCGCCGAAGGAGCAAGTTCCAAGGTATTACCCAAACATTTTTCACTACAAAACAAATACTGACAAGCGGCGTTTAAAGTAGATTCGAGGTGTCTCCTGCTTTTGATAAACTGGCCCTTACCTTCACTTCCAGCACGTGTGAATTGCCAAGATGACTGAGCAGTGTTCACTGTAGCAGCCTCCCGAATAGCCAAGGAGTTTAATCATCTGCAAAGTGTTGTCTGTATAAAGATGTGCCAAAGTTGTTGTCCCAAGAAACTCATCTGGACAAGTCTGACGTATGTGCCACCTGAAGTAGAGTCTGCTCTGCCCTTGACTGACTTTTGTGTGTGTGTTTATAGTCGAGAGCAGATATCCGTCTTCAGAGGTGGCACCTTTCAGTCAATTGTACACTATCTACTGTGCAAGTTAAATAGCTGTTCCCACCCTGCATCTCCTGCAGTGCAACCCAGCATGACTCACTGCTCACACTCCAAACAGACAGATGGTCATTACATACAGTGCTTTTGCAAAAAAACAAAAAAAAAACAACAGGGCCTGCAATCATTTTCATGAAGCCCAGGGGTGCTGTAGCTCACCAGAGGCTGCATGACATACGCAGTGTAAAGGGAAAAAAAGTTGTACCAGACCTCCCGTTGTCTTTCTTGTAACCTGCTTCCTTCAAAAAAAATAAAAAATAACCACCACCCCCCGCCAAGCCTCCAGTGGCCTACTTGTGATCATGCTGAGAGTGAAAGCCATTGTGTAGTGGACACCCTCTTGACCGCAGCTGTTCATTTGATGTATAGGTGTATGGTTTTGCGGTGGTGTCAGCTTGGGCCGCAGAAAACCTCCTGCTCCCTCTGCCCAGAGGAAGGAGAAGTGTCTGCTGGACAACCTTGAAAAAGAAAGTTGTCTATATGAGGACACAGTTATTATACTTCAAAACAAATGGGATTGCAGTAGATACAGATGGAGGTGGAGCGCCTATTGGGGTCGTGTGACTCAACTGACAGGCGTTTTCATGTTTGACCAACCGACTGCTCAGTTGCAGCTTTAGTGTTTATACTTGAATCATAAAATGAATCCATAGAAGTCCAACTTTTATTTGTCAGAAATGAAAATAACCCTGTGATTGTTGTCTTGGAATTTTCTTTTTTAATTTTCAAATGCTGCTTCTCTTTAATGAGACCCTTTGTTAAAAAGTTTGAACACAGAGAAGAATAAGACTCGCTAAAACCAAAAAACAGTAACAAATAATTATTGTAGAACAGATTCAGGCAGAGAAAATAAACAGTATTCTGTCCTGATTATCTGACTCTAGACTTTTAAGTCAAATGTTTCCATTGGTGCTGACAAGGAAAACGTAACTTATTTTTGACTCGTCTCTTCAGTTGTCAGGTATTATAAGTTGACTTACAGACACCCGTGTTACCTTAACCAGGTATTTATTTGCGTCCTTCCAATTTTTGTACGCAGACTTAAGCAGCATCACACTGTAACAGAATAAGCATTATTTTTAATCTAGCAAAACTTCAATGGAGACAAACAGGTCTTTATTTTCACACCCAGTAGAGCATTACTCCCAACATATCACTTCACTTATGGTGTCACACCTTTGCTAATCTGACACAAAGGTAACAGAAACAACTGGAGCAAGTTATAAGTCAACACAGAGCATTTTTGATTTTAAAACAGGCCTAGCTCCATCCTTTTGCTCACCTTCCTCCTTTAGTATGAGCAAATATGAACGTAAATATGAACTTAATCTGCTTAATTTTGAGCTTTTGGGTTTATGGCGTGTGCTACAAGTTTACAAGTGCTTGAGAAAGTAGACCTGCAGGCCCGCTCTGACTTAAAACATTAAAATGAATTCTTATTAAATGTAGCGTTACGCCTGAAGGGGACAACGCTCGCCGGAGACTAAAGCTACGTTTGCGATTAGATTAAACGTAACATTTTGATTAAAGGACATGATTAAAGCATTCATTTTAGTGCTTATGTAGATGTTAGATGAGACATACGCTGCTAAGCACTATTGTTCCCGTGCTCTAATTCTTCCATTAAATGTGCATGCCAGCCTCGCCCTTGCCATAAATCAGTCATGCCCCTACATCACGGATACGTCTTCACTTTATCATTATAAATTTATGCTTTCTGTGGCTGACAAGGAAACTTGTGTCCCAGAGAATCACTGCACGTTTTAATCTTCCATAATGAAAAACAGAACTGTAATGCATTTAAAGGAATTTAAGCAAACCGGGGACGATACGCGAGAGCAGATAAACCCTCGCACCTCCAAGAGGAATGAAAAGTAACAGTTTTCACGAGCAGCAATAATTGAACAGCGCCGGGGATTCTCCGTACCTCTCAGTGCCATCCTTGTGCATTTTTTAACTTGGACAAAATAGACGCAAGTTAGACTAAACTGCAGCTTGTGCAACATCTGTGTGAGCTGAGCCCCCTCTCACTCGCTCGCTCACTCACTCAACAGCGGGTGAATGTTTTAAAGGAGACAAAAAAAAAAAAGGTCTGCAGTGGATGATGTGCTGGGAAGACGGTGTTCTCATGAATTACATCTCCATAACTGCGTCTCCCACTGACAGTCTCAAATGGGCTCTGACAGAATGCTGCAGATATTGATGGATAGAGGGATGCAAGACAGGCTTAATTGCAGTTTGATGAGTCAAGGTTTCTCAGAGGCAACATATCACCCGCAGACACCCACAGGTGGAGCGCTTCCCTGTCTTATACACGGTGGGCTTTCTCTTCGTATAAATACAGTCATAATCTACATAAATATTGGCTGTGGCGCAGTTAATCTCGTTTGAAAGGTTTATTAACTTGTTACATACACCTCTGCCAGTAAATTGACTTTGAATAATCTTCCGTGGAGATCAAACAAAGATAAAGATATAATTTTTTTTTCTTTTTCGCCATGAGTCTGCGCCAGATTACAGTGTACAAGTGACAACTCGGATAACAATAGTTTTCCATCTTGTGTGTTACGCTGAATGTCAGTCATAACTCACCCGTTAACTACTTCCACAATTCTGTGTGCAGCATGGTGGGTTGGCGGCCTACTTTACAGCCTCCCAACGTTCATATAGTTGATTTGCTTGCAACGTCTCCGCAGTAGTGTGGTGAGTTTCCACATAGTTGATAAAGCTGCAAAAAATTAGTGCTCAAAGTCAGTTTTGCCACTTGTTCCTCCTCCCCGACTAAAATATTAATAAGACAATCCATCTGTTCATACATTGCAGCCACTGCTGACTTAATAACAGCTCCTAATTTGGATGAGGAAACACTGACTATGTCTCATTAAATGAATATACCACGGCTGTCATTAGCAAGTCGAAGGGACTGAATGACAATTATTGTCTGTTAGCGTCCAGGCTCTGTTAGTGAGCGTACAAATGTGCTGCAAACTTTCTCAGATGTCTTTTTGTCATATTATATTGGTAAACAGATGTTCCATAATGTCTTTGCACAGAGTATGTGAAGCACTCCCTACAAATCTTTACACATGTGCCACGGACAACATATTTGCTACACTTTCTAAATGTAGCCAAGACTCCAAGACTTTGCATGACAAAAAATATAAGCAATAAAGGTCATAAGTAGGTGCTGAATGTATGCAGATTGTGAGAAAGCTAGTTCCTATGTGTATACGATTGCAAAAATATATATATATATTTATCACAAATTATTCATTAACTATCTGTCTTGACCAAGGATGGAGCACATTTGTCTTAGAGTTCTGTTTATTTAGTATATTCGCCACATAACTGACAGAAAAAAATCCTGTCAAAACACTTCAAGGGCATCTCACTGGCAGTCATGAAGTGCCATCTATTGGCAGGCAGGGGAACGGCATCATGAAAGTGCTGCAGTGCAACAGGGAATTAAGTTTTTCATTATCCTGCAAGTCTAACATAACGCCACAGGCTCATGAAGCTTGTGCCACTGTGTTTCTTTTGGCCCCTTCCATAATTACAAACTCTTTTGATTTTGAGATGACACGGTACTGAATTTTTTTTTTTTTCTGATTACTTATTCATAGCAACTGTCCTTACCTAAGTTTCACTCTCAGAGCTTTGTGTCTTTGTGTCTTTTCGTCCTGCTTTGGCTGTCAGTCACTGTCAGAGATCTGCTCTGTTCATATAGGGGGAGAAGGGGGAGCCTGGAGTCCTGGGGGAAAAGGGGGAGAAAGGAGAAAGAGGAGATCCTGTACGTATTTTCCTGCACTGACATTTACAATGCCGCTGCGTTACAGAGTCATTAACCGAGGCTTCCCTCTCTCTCCCACAGGGTCAGCCAGGTGCCGAGGGATCCGGCGGCATGAAAGGACAAAAAGTAAGTCACATCAATGTCAAGTGGCAAATATGATGATTCCCTCTGTTTCTGCTCCCTGAGACTCTGAGGCTAAACCTCCTGAGTTAGTCGTCTTCTTCTTCTTCGAGTCCGTTTATCCTCCAGTGATCTTTAAAATCATCTGCCAACAAATAATGAAGCTGCCGACGATTTGTTGTGCGTGTTTGTTTTTTACATTTGCAATTGTTTGTATCATTTGCTCCTCTAAGCATGGTCCAGCTCATTTTCTCATTACTGACAGGTTGTGTGTATGCGTGAGAGTGTGTATGTGTGTATTTTTGTGTTTTCTACGTGTTAATATAATAGAGTCAGAGCAATAATTTGCAGAAGAAATCTCTTGCGGTAAAGACAAACAAACCAGGACCAGAGTTCTCAGTGGCGTCTGTACGGTATTTTCTTTAATTATCTATCTCAGTGTGCCTCTTTATGTGTCACTAAGCAGGAAGTTAGGTCTAAAGAAGAATGAAGTATTATTGTTCAAGCAGACAGAGCAATTTACATATTTTTACAGTAGCTCCTGACTTTTAAACTGTAAGAACTTAACAAATACGCAACAAATTATTTTACCGCGTTGCCCTATTTTCCAATTCCTTTACATACATTCAAAAATGATTGCATTCTGTCATTTCAATAGGTAGGCACTGAGAGGTAGGCACAGCTTATAATGCATGCAAAACTTGATTTTGAATAGATGTATGTGGAGTTCAGTTGATTGCGTTTGTTTCTAAAGCAGTCATACCTGCAGAGGTGTGAGGCTGGAGCTGAATTGCTGACATTTCCATTATATCAGTGCTGTCACGTTGATCCCGAGTATGTATAATTCTGGCTGTGTTCTGCATATTATTTTAGATAGCTGGGAAAATTGAAGTTTTGTTCTGATGCTGATGGTGCCAGATGATGAGCTGTTGAATCACCAAAACGATTAAACTCCTCGATTAGGTTTATCGCACTCAAAATTTGCACAGCAGTTCATACAGGTGGGGGTATTTCTGTCAGAGGTGCAGCCTGGCCTCAGTAGGCTGTATTGGCAGTTTGATCCCCTGCTCCTTTGGGACTGTGAATGGGCATCCAACTAACTAAAACGATGCTCGAAAGGTTTAAGGACAAACGTTAAACACGTGAAACTTTGTGCAATTTTTTTAGTAGGAGAAGAAGAAAACATGAGCTGTTCATGACAGTAGAGGGAAACTTGGTACTATGTGGCCAACTGTATGGCTGTCCATCCCAGTGCTGTCAAGCTATTGCACTAAAAGTCAAACATTTGCTTGTATTCCAAGAGGAACAGTTAAAGGATGACCAGAGTCTTTTGATATATGGCACGGGCAGCATGGAAATGTGAACCATATTTCTCGAAGTCTTACAGTCCAAAAGTCAGCCAGATTCATCATCGGGGAACAATGCATACCTCTGTGCAATTTCATAGCAATCCATCAAACAGGGGTATTTCTCTCTGGACCAAAGCGATGGACTTACTGACATTGACATCCCAAGAGCCGTGCCACAAATGAGTTGTGTGACTTTTTTTTAACTTGTAATATGTGGGTATTTTTAAACTGACATTTAAATCTCTGGAAACCTTTTTCTGTTAAAAAGTGGTAAGGTACAACATGTGTTTGTTTGGGGTTTTTTTTGCTCTATTACAACCACAAAAATTGCAGTTTGTAAATTGCAAATGAAAGAACTGACGCTTCCACGTGCTTTGCCAAATTGAAAGGTTCCCCGGGGCACTTAATAAGCCTATTACAATGCTCATAGGTTACATGGTATGGACATACACAACGTTAATTAGCATTCTGTGTGAGACACCTGAGAGGCGGTATCCCAGCACGCTCTTTAAGGAGAATTATGTTTTGTTTCTGCTCGTCTTTTGGCTGTGGCAGTGTTTTCACCAAAGACTGCTCATGTTATTGCTTTCTTAACTGTTGCTCTTAAACCTATTGATGTAGTTGTTCCAGGTAACCTGTGGCAGCTTGCTTTCAGCACTGGTTTCTCAAGTGCTTTTTTATGTTCCTTCTTTTTTGTCACTGCCAGCTTGTCGCTCTGTCACCGTCATAAGCAGCCACTGATACAATGTTTCTGTTGGATTTTCAGGGTGATGTCGGCCCTCCTGGTCCTCCCGGTCCTGTAAGTAAATCTATGCAACCCCGCCTCACAGAAATAGTCTTTACTATGAGTTGGCATGAAATGGCATTCTTAGGTTTCATCCTGAGAGACAACACACCGTGCTGGATGAGTCACGAAAGCATTTGTTTGTACTTTTTCTTTGTGACGAACACAAAAATATGTCCGATGTTTGTACGTCAGCGAGCTGCTCGTAATAGAATTTGGGAACCGAGGAGAAGAAATAAAGAGCGGTGCAGTGTTTACCTTTGCAGTCACGCCTCGACCATGGTGGCATGTCATCTTGTAACCAATTTCCTTTCTTTGACAGTCCTCCAGCTCTGTTCTATCATTAAATATATACTTTTTCGTTCTTTCTTTCTGACTTTCTTTTTTTTTTTTTAATATGAGCAGGGGATCAGTGTTGATAAAGGGCACCAAACATGGGCAGCCTTTTTAAGGCAGATGAGATTAGTCATGTTGAATTTCTCTGGAAATAGCTCCCTCTTTTTTTCAGATAATGAATTCACTGATAATTGGCAGCTCCCTGTGAACTATAAACCACATGCATATCTGGGAATTGTGCACGGAATAGCTTTCACGGCGCTGAAAAGCTACGAACTGTGACTTTTTGTGTGTCTGGCATCCACAGAACGCATTTGCACTCAACAGATGTTCAAATCCTTCGCCTGGGAGTCTTTGTCGTGTGAAGTAATGGGGGTCACGCGGTACACGGCCCGCTCGTGGTGCTCATAATTTTAAATTACAGAATTACAAACCATTACAAGCCCCGATCTTACTTTTTTTCCCATTTGCGCGACAGTTTCAGCTGAAAGGCAGATCAGAAACAGAAACACTGACGTCACAGTGGATGTCTGACATATGCTGAAGGTGACACAGAGTGGGTGGCGCTGGCATGATAGAACTCATTGCTTAGACATTTTAAAGACAAAAATACACTGTGACGAATCAGGTAAAGATCTCTGAGGCGGCAGTAATGACTCCAAAGGGAGGCAGCAACTATTTGTAGCCTTTTTTTTTTAAAGGAAAGAAAGAAAAAAGGATAAAAAAGTATCAAATGAAAACAGTCTCAAAGTCTTTGTGTCTTAAAAGACTTTGACATTTAGAGGACTCGGCCCTAATGGGTTTTGTTCTAAAGATCTGCTTCCTATTGAACTTCTGAAGGCTTTAGACGTGAGCTTGGAAACAAAGTTTGATGGCTTTGATTCTCGTTCTCACTTTCATTGCTCGTTAGCAAATGATTCATAAGGAAATTAGACAACTTAATTATAGAGTGAACAAATATCACTCAATTTCTGCTGGTTTCACTGGTTTCTGTGTACCCAACAAAAATGTAATTTGATAAAAAAATGTACGTCAATGCAAGTGTCGCTTTGTTTATTTGTTTGAATTTCGTTTCTACTCGTGGATTAAGACTTTTTCTATCGAAACAGAAATAGAAATTGTGTTCATTGTTGTGTAGTGCGGTGTGGGCCACCCAGGATATATGAGATGTGTACTAGAGCACACGGCAGAGAGGAAAACATTAGTCATTTGATAAATGAGGCTATTTGAATATTTAGTACCAGGCTCTGTCTGTGCTCTCTGCTTTCCCGTGGCAGATAATTTTGGCAGTTAAACATTGATTTCCCTTACACAGCAGAAGCGAGGGTTCAGATCATTACCCTCCCTTCATAAACCTTCTTGTGCCTGTGTTTATTAGTGACAGGGAGGAGCAGTGCGCTTACAGGCATGCATGGTCATCACTTCCCCCAATGTCCTTAAAGTGGCAAAACAGTCTTTTTAGCTCTGAGACTGTGCTGTTTTTTATTGTCCCCGCCTTTAAAATAGAGCTTATAATCTATTAAACTGAATCTGTTATGCTAGGTTATCTGTTATGCCAAATTTGGACAGAAATTGAGTCACATGTTGATGACAATGAGTAAAGACATTGAGAATATGCAAGTTGAAGGTTGACTGATTGCGCAGGGATGCGTTCGAGGTTTCAGTATCTTTGTCAAAGCTTAGTTTGACTATTGTTGCTAAAGGAAGAGAAATCACCCCAAGGTATGTAGCCTCTTTGCAACAAAATTTCCAAAGGGCTTAGAGACACATTTAGTAAGGAAATAAGAACAGCTGTAACAGCTGGATAGAGAGGAAAAAAACGATCAAAGTTAAATGAGAAACAGTCCGGTTACTAATGAAAATGATGTCAGCTGTAGGCACATGCAGATATCTCCCACAGATATGGTTTTTAGTCCCCAGATTGCTCCTGTTTCCTCTTGCTTCTAATATCATTAAATCTTGCAAGAATGACCAGGTTATAACTGCACACAGGCGCAAAACACATGGTTAACACAAGAGGCCTGAGGACATTCAGATATAATGAGTTCTGATGATTGCAGATAGATGCACTAGGCCTGAAACATCAGATCCACTTAAAAACCTTTTGTCCACTTTATACCAACATTTCTGTGGTGAAGCTCATATCCAGATTGTATCTGCATCTGCACAGATAGGTCTGCCTTCAGTAAATGTCTCCAGTGTCAGCACTGAAATGTGATTGTGAGCAATCCAACTGAAACAATCGCTCGTATCATCGCCGGCTGAACCGCGCCACCTCTACTCTTTGTGCATGCTCTCAAAGGCAATTGTGGTCTTTTGTGAAACTGGATTTTATGGAAAACATCTTTATTTTTCCAAAGCGAAGGATTTTGTGGAGTCACACTTTTGCATGTTTACTCGTTTTCAATTTGTCAGCAGTTTAGCCAGTTCGCTCACAGGTGTATCGACACGTGCACTTTCATTTCAAACTATAATCTGATTAGATGGGGAGTGCGTTAATGGCGGGTCTAAGCGACAATATGAAACTTAGGAGCTCCGTACAAACACTTTGATTTGCGACTTTAATTTCGGTGCATCAAGTGGTCTTGACCTCGTGCTTTTCGTTTAATTTTGTTGTAGCAGGCTCTGCCCAGCTGCACTGTCACCCCATCTCTGAGCTGTATTGAAAGTATACCGCGAAAGAGAAAGGAAAAACACAGATTTAATCTTTTCTTATCTAACCTGGGTTCAGACTGGTGGCAAGAGAGCCAATTGTGAATTAAATAGGAGCTGCCACTCATGCATTCTTAAAATATTCAGTAGCTCAAATCACTTTGTTTCATTTTATTTATTTATTTCAGTTTTCACTTGCACTAATTGTGAGATCAATGAACTTTTTAGAGAACACTGTGTCTTTTTCGTTACTCCTAGGTGATGACAGCACATGGATTAAGACAGCTTTCTGGAACTGTAAGCAGCTGTTTATGTCACCGAACATGAAATGTTTATGTAGTGTCTTATTTCCTCGAGCTCCTTGTTCACACTGCACACAAAGTACGGTACAGTCAAATTTTAAAGTCATCTGCTTTCTCCTGTTCTTTTCTGTTTTCTTTTCTTTTCCTTTTTAAGGACGAAATGAAGGAAAGAGCCCTAAAAGGAGAAAAAGGAGATGAGGTGAGATTTTCTGTCATTATTAAGACAATTTAACAACAGGAAACTAAGCATTAGGTCTCAGACATTGCCTCCAACACCACAGTGTGAAAAACACCAATTTCTTACGTAGCGTCAACAAAAGCGGGACTGACATTTGATTTTTGAAAGAACAATGGGACTTCACCTACTGTGCAGTTTCTGAGTTGAATTTCATCCTTGCGCTTTGTAAAGAAGCACAAGGTGAGCCGCTGAATAAATTGGCATGCAATTATTGTTTGGACCTCAAAACAACAGACTCATCTACTGGAAGCAAGCAAATTACAAAAGGCCACTGACGCAGCTATTGGCCAAAACATCAAAAGACAGTCAGCTGAATGAAAAGAGAAAAAAAACAAATCACAAGCAGAGATGCAGAATCAGACTGTCTTTGTCAGTGCATCAAGTTTTAGAAAATCTATAATAAAGTGTCAAGTCTCTGCCTTAATTAAAGTATATTTATGTCGATGCTGAAAGAATCACATGTGAAATATTTGAAATGGAAGGGTTCAAAAGTAAGTGGACACGCCCAGAAGAGCGGAAGAGTGGAGCTGCTTGTCAGATTGAGGCATAAAGAGGTCATCATTCACATGAAGGAGATCCAGAGTCAGAGAGGCGTCAGAGGTTGTTTGCCGTGAAGCAGCACAAAGTGGGAAAATAACTGGTACACAAATATCGTTGATGGCTGGGAAAAATATTTTTGTGGTGTAAAAAAAAAAAAAAAAAAAGCCCATTTGTAACTGCACGGCAAGTGAGAAATGTTTTCTGTGTGTCAGCATACATGTGTCCCTGTCAGTGATTAAGACAGCATGACCTCAGAGGATTCAAAACAGGATGCAAAACCATGGTAACCCTGCAAATAGGAGAGAAAAGCGTGCAATTTACAAAAAAAACAGACCAAAAAAAGAACAATAGGAAGCTACGAGAGCTGTGGAACAATTTTCTGCAATGACACAAAATGACACAAAATTAACCTCAATCAAATGCTACAAAGAGGATAATGTAGTGGGGAGAAAAAAGGAATAGCTCAAAAACCAAAGGTCATGTGACCTCATGTGTAAAGCATTGGAGCAGTTCTGAAGTGACAGTGCGTACAGGAGCATTATGTGTGGTAATATTCAGAAAAAACATCCTAAACATAAAGTAAGAGAGAGCTTTTCAGGGTGAAGAGTGGGACTATCCTCAAGTGACTGAGTCAAATACTCTAATCTAAGTGTGATTGAGGATGCAATCTGCTTGCTGAAGAACAGACTGGATAGCAGACTATCAGCAGAGAGACCACTCAAAGAGGAAAGTGGAAGTATAGGGAAGGCCTGGAGACTGCAGCCGGTCACTGAGTATATCAGCCCCCTGCTAATCAACTCGTAAACACTGAGCACCGTGTTTGTGTCATAACAGCGACACATCATAGTCGGAGTCAAATTAAAGCTGAGAATTGCCACATTAATCATATTTCGGTGTTTCTTTGTTGAAAAAGCCAGAAGAACAGTGCAAACATTTTTAAAAAATTGCGTTTTGTTTTGAGGCCAGGGGAAAATTTTCCCCCCTTCTTTTTTTTTCTCAACAGCTGCTGATTTTATTATATTCACATTCTCAGTGCAAGAAAAAAGCTAACTTGGCAAAGGAAATATTCTGTGTTTTAACCTTCACATCATATGCTAACTTCACGAAAGTCCTTGAAGACTTTTTTTTTAAACCTTAACCACAGTCAGCCAGAGAAATGGCTTGGATCTTTATACACATCTTGAGAACGGATGTTTTTCTGTTTCCTTTACTTTCTGCAGGGGGAGAGAGGCGCTCAAGGACCGCAAGGCTTCAAGGTGACTTATCAAAGACTTAACCTTTGCACTAAAACTTGAGTATCTACTGCCAAGAAAATAAGGCTACAAAATTCCTTCCTGTCCAACGTAGTACTCTCTGTAACTCTCCACACAAGCTCCACAGTGTTTGTACACCAGTAGTCGCAGCAGGGTATTACTGATTTCTCTGTCGGATTCTTTTTTTTTTTAGAAGGGATCCTTTCTTCGGTGTATATTTGGTAGGTTGGCAGTAACCCTACAAAGTCCAGTGATGTTATTGAGCTGTTACCGGAGGGTACCGTGCTGCACAAAGTTTCTTTCTGTTGTTTAGGTTTCACCAAATACTCCAAAACATTCATGGAGCACACAAAAGTTCTGCTGAACACTGAACTCAGAAAGAAATCAAATCTATGTAGTTTTTCTCTCAGCGCTGTATGACAAAGCACAGAGGTCAAGATGTTTTTCCTGCAGTTTCCTGCCTCCCATGTGCATCTTATTCACCCTTTTTGGTGATTTAACAGGGAAATATGGGGCCGCCAGGACTAAAGGGAGATCAAGGACCAGAGGTGAGGCTTTGTGTTTATCTCTGGGGTGCTGTGCCATTTAGAGTAGGTCAAACTTTGATGTCTAAAAATGTGCTAAATACAAGGTAAAATGATACACGTATAGGCATGAAAGGCCATTATAGCTTTGACCGAGGAGCAGAATAACAAGAGCTGCTGAGGTTTTGGTCATTGATGGAAGGAAAATAAAGTAAAATGCACTGAAATTCAGAGTTCAGTCCAAATTAAATAACTCTAAATCTGCAGTTTTGGTGTTTCTAAGCCTGTTTTGTAAATGTAGTCTTTTGAATAATGCTCATGATGATATCAAGTGTTAATTAAGAAGACTCTGTCTCAGTGCTACTGTAAAAGATGTACTGTGAGATAAAAGCCAAGATACAGTAAAAATTCAGTTTCCATGGTAACAGATGAATCATTTAGATCATCCTCACATATAAAAACAATACAGTTCAAAATGGAAGTGAATATGAGAAGCTTTTACAGAATAACAGCGTCGCTTTAACTTGAAATATCGCATGCATGCAAATATACTGCTGCTCAGGCAACGTTTCATGAAATTTTTTGGAAAGTCAGTGTTTGCGTTGTAGCTGGGCTGGGCAAGAACACCCAAAGGCCAGAAATCATATCTATGACCAAACAAAGAGAATCGAATATCCATAGTGTTGGTTTTCCTTTGTGTTTTTCCAGGGGAAGCAAGGCCCTCCTGGATCCACTGGAGCCCCAGGACTCCCGGGCAAGCCAGTAAGTGTTCTGGCATCATAAACACCAGCACTTCATGTCAAGTCTTCCTTTTTCTCATCGCCTTATCTGTCACCTTGCCGTATCGTCCTCTTTCTTAACGCCGCCAGCCAAATAGAGAGATAAATAGATAAACCTCAGCAGGCAGAGATAGAGAAGAAGTAGGGGAGAAAAGTCCAGAATTTTTACACAGACGATCAGTAATCAAATTTAAGAATTAATTAGTGGAAAGAGGCAAATCTAAGCGCTTTATGCCGGGAATGGAGGCAGAGGCCCAATCTGTTCTCCACACCTGCTTCGGTAATGAGCATCTGTCTTTATTCAAAAGCAGGGAGGGAAAAGAGGCATTTCATAAATCCTGGCTAAGGGAAATTATGTTGGAACACAGCAGCCTGCTGAAGCAGTGAGGAGGAGGAGATAAATGTGTGTGAGAAGATGAAGGCCTGGTGATAGATGTGTCTCTTTTCACCACTATTTACAGGGCTCACCAGGGGAGCCAGGGGTACCTGGGAACGATGGACTGAAAGGAGAAAAGGTAGGTAAACTTCAAATCAAGTCCTCACCTGAAAGCAAAGAAAAATGAAGCTATGATGTTTTATTACAGGTTCAACATGCCAGCCAACTTGCAAAGATGCCTTTTAGATTACTTGCCCTTCGTCCAATCCTCAGTCATTGTGTAACTTTGTGTTCCTGTCTCCGGTGCCTCTCACTCCTCTGTTTTTGCACACAAATGTTTTTTTCTTCTTCTTGCAGTTATATTCCAAACACTTTGCTGAAAGTGGCAAACTAGAAAAGTGGAAAAGTGTGCAGCTGACATGCATATTTGATGGGGTTTGTTACTTGTCAGAAAGAATGAAGATGCACTCAATTCTCCCCACCCACCAGAGTCACTCTGTTATTCTCCAGAGCAGAGAAATAGACCTAGAGTGCTTAAGCCTCCTATATTCATTCACATAAAATGCTTAAGCCTCGTTTTTTCCATTGTATAATCCTCCTTTGTCAAATTTGCTATACTGACTCCAATCTAAGAGGCACTTCATTCGTGTGGCGCTCTATGAATAAATAGGAGAAAAAAATAAGCAGCGTCTGTGGCTTAAATATGAGGCTGGGGGTAGAAGGCAGTTAGCGTAGCATAGAGTAAAAAATGTTAGCAGATGCAGCAATTAACAATGTTTATACATACATATATATGTATATTCTTATTAGGAACTTTAAAGATAACTAGTAAATATAGTATATTGTCAGCTTAATCAATCAAGCAATCGTGACTTTTTTAAAATGGGACTTTACTGTGGAAGACTGTCTCTTGAGCAGTAATAGCTGCTAATATTATTGACAAAACAATAAAATGCTACAATTCTTTCATTTATTTTTCAAGCAGTATTTTCCAAAAACAAGCAAAAAAGGAAAAGAACAGCTATATGAATGCTAAGCATGGTGGCAGTCTTTACCCAACAATGCTGACATGCTCATTTGTAGCAGCTAGTCATTACCACCATGCTAAAAATTGATAAGTATCAATAAAGCCCTGTTGAGGTTGATAGCAAAGGCATAGCAAAGAACAGATGAGGAACAAAGTAACTCACTCAGTTAAGGTCAAACTTCCTGTTTTAACAATAAGACAGAGCCCAGGTAAAAATTGGCATCTGTGGGAGAGATCCAAGGAGAAAACTGCTGACCAAAAAGAAATAAACATCTTGATGATCCCTAAAATTTAAGAGGAAAATCATTCTCTGAAAATTTTCAAAGCTTTCAGTCCCTCTGCATCTGCCATAAAATAAACATGCCATTTCATAAAAAGATCACCGTAGCAACAGTCAAACATGGTTGTGGAAGTGATTTAACAAGGGGAGCAGTTGTTTTTTTCACATAGGGTCAAGTGGGTTTGGATAGTTTTTTTTTTTTGATTATTTAAAACATGTGAGTGTGACAAATATGCAAAACAAAAGGTTCTCCCACTAACATGATGCGCTGGTGTTGACATCGTTCACATGTGCATCCTTGCATCTTCTCACCCTTTTTTTCACCTCACTGTGTCTAACTAACACTGCACTTTCTTTGGCTTGTTAAGAAGACAGGGCTGGTTTAATGTTTTTTTTATGGAGAAATTTCTAAATAGCATCTGTCTTTCTGTCTGTAGGGGGGCTCTGGTGGAATGATCGGCCCACCAGGACCTCCAGGTCCTAAGGGTGAGCCTGGCGAACCTGTGGGTGGATATATGGTGGGTATTATATCAAATGTAGACAGTAACCTCACCTTGTTGGGTTCAGCTCTGAAGACACAGGATACAGCATTAAAAACTATTAATGCAGTCCAATAAAACAGCAGATGGAAACACAGGAGACTTTCAGAAATGCAGATCACCTGCAAACAGCTAGAGTAGCAGCAGGCAAGTTAAAGAAACTAGGTCCTCCAGCAGCGCAGATGCAATGATGTTATGAAGTAGCAATATCATTAGATAGTCCACCATCACATATCCCCATCCTGGATAATCACCTATCCTCGTAATTGGAGCACATAGCTGTTCAGTTTCTTTTATAGACATGGCTCTGCATATAGAAATGTTCATTATAGCTTTCCCAAAGAGGCTGTGCATGTGCAGCCACAGCCTCAATCCCGGTTGATGGCACTCGCACTTCTCAATCACCTGTGGACTTCTGCAGCTTTAAACAGTCGTGTTTGTTTGTGTGTGGAAACACCAATCTGAACATTAAGCCCAACAGCAGACCTACTGATCAAGCAAGCCAAGGGTACCGTGAGCAGAGTAATAAAGGAAAGATTGTGTTCAGGCCGACGTATTTAAACCTCTTAACATTCTCCTGCACTGGGAAAATTGGAAAGGGATTGAAAAAACACGGCTGTGGGTGTCAAGATGGGGTGTTTACCACGTGAAAATGACCTCTCACAGTGTTGTATGCAATAGGTGAAAAAGCTAAACTAAGAAAAATGGCTTTCATTTAAAGCAGACATATTTCTGTCTTTTGAAAATACCATTAGTGTGCGGAGATGTAGGAAGAAATGTCCTTAGCATTTATGGACGTTATCATATAAGACAAAGGTAAGGGAAAAGGAAATAAACAAAACATATCTTTAATGAGTTAGCCTGCTCAAGCAGCTAAGGACAAAGCCACTTTTATTCATGCGGGTATAGCGCCACAGCAGGTAGCGCCGCACATTTGATTTGGCAGATTTTTGTATTCAGTGCCCTTCCTGACACAACCCCAAAGGAATCTGTTTCTCCTTCCACGATCGTTTCCTTGTTAGGCAAATGTATAAACTACTGAACTAAGATGTCACACACTTTGTTGAGCTTGCCTTCAACTGAATAATAACCAGCTAAGTCTTTGTACTTTAAACATGCTGTTTATATAAATTTCTATAAATTTATGATCTACTCTCACATACCGAGGGAGAAGTTCTGTTTCTGTAGAGTGGAAGTGCCCCACTAATGTCATCAGATCTCTTTGGTTTCAAAAGTTCTGTACTTCCCAAACTTTAGTGTTTTATGTTTGACTGAACTGGTCCATTTCTCCCCAAAACTGTAAGAACTGCTGTGTTGGCTCAAACCCAGCTTCTGCCCAGCTAATTTACAATGTAGGACTTGCACCAGAAATACATGCTGACCACAGAAATCAATGTCTCATCTGGATGGTACAGTAAATAATGCCCGCACCTCGATTCCAATTAAGGTTTTTTGTTTTCTCCCTCACCCCCCACCCTCTCTGTGGTACGGCATTATCACCTTGCATCTGTACAGTGAAACTAATCAAATTGTTGTAAGCAGTATTGAACATGTGCTCATAAGGCAACACTGTAATGTGTGTAGCTCATACTGATTCAAGACTCCTGTTTGAATTAAAGCACTAGGGCTGCTTCTCGGGCCTTACCTCAGTTCTCAAAGAGAATTGCTGATCAGTGTGCAGTGAATTTCTATTCTAAAGTCTTCTTTGTTTTTTTTGTTTTGTTTTTGTTTTTACAGGGGGACGGGTTGCCTTTAACTAGAGGGTCTCGTGGACCTAAGGTAGGTCCTCCAACATCACCAAATAAGCAATAAAAAGTGAAAAAGAAACAATTCAGCTAAATAAATTTAATTGTACTACAGAAAAGAAGAAGTTGTAACAAATAGCTTACCTGGCACGAATTCCAGGATAGCATGAGCTTGAAAATGTGTCACGGGAATGAAAACGTCCACACTTTGCTTTGTTCTACAGAACCTGACACCGACTACATGTGTCATGTTCTGTAATGATGTAACATTATGTAATCCTAGGCTGAGACCTTAGGGCTCTGTGTGGCTATCTGAACACTTTGTTCAGATCTATTGGTGCAATATTCCTCTGTGGGAAAAAGTAAGTGCAGCCTTGGCTTTACGCGGTAGCGCTGCTCCATTTAACTTCTTATAGTGTGTTTTGCATCATTGTCCTCCTGGTCGTACTGTGCCTCACTCAACTTCTTGACCACCTTTCCATGTAAAGTTTCCTAATTTGCAAAATGTTGCTCTTGCATGCAGTGCCCACGTTAAATCCCCTCCATAAGCATTCCAGTGAGATTCTGATAGGATCTTGTGTGTAGTTTTTATTTGGCCAGACCCTTCTTTAACCTTTAATTTTCTTCTTTTTGAGCCATTCTTTGCTAAATTTACCCGTATGCTTGAGGTTATTATCCTGTTGAAAGGTAGCTTTTTGAACACATTGCTTTCAAGGACACTGCTTTACAGCTTCTCCTTAAAACTGGCCTCTGGTCTATTGCGTTTAAACCATTCTCTCTGATTTCCTTGAGCGCATTATTCCAACAAACCTACCTTGAAGTTTATTATCAAACTAATTTTGCTTTGATGGTCTTTTTTGGATTTCACTTAAACATTACACAATACAGTTTTGAGGTTCTTGGAGACTTTTTTTTTACTGCTCTACATCATCTTTCATGTTATTTACTTTTTTAAACATGAAGATATATCTCCTGAAGTCCATCTAATACCAGCTGGAAATCACTAATATGACTGATATCACTGAAATTGTCATAATATGCTTGGATATCAAAGAGATTTCATTCTTTTTTCTGATCACTTTGTACTATCAATATCAGTGGATTTGACATGGAAAAATAAGTGCACAGTTGAGTATCTTATGTATCATACGTAGGCAAAATGATGGACATAATTAAAATCTGCATGATAACGGCCTTCACCGCGGTTATGTTTTCTTTCTTTACCCTTTAAGCAAAGAGGCACAAGATAACAGGAAATGGATTCTGGCAGTCTTTGAATACTTAATGAGCAATGCAGCAGCCCTTCCTTTAGCTGGATTCACCATCATTAAATCATCACTGACCACTCCCTTGTGTTTGTGTTAGGGTGAAAGAGGCATCCCGGGATTGCCCGGAGACCACGGTGAAAAGGGCGAACCTGGGGAGAGCATTACAGGGCCACCTGTGAGTATGATGTCGTATTGATTGGTCAGTGAGCACCAAACCATTTATTATTTAGTGGCACCCTTGAAACATTTCAGATTCCTGCTTTTGTCTTAGGCGTGGAAAGAATGGGCTACTCTCTGAATACTGGAGATGTGTTTTTATTAGAAACATCGGTCATTACTTGCTCTCTCGCCTCATCATGCACGCTCTGGGGTGCTAGTTTGAAACTCAGATTTGACAGTGAGTGAGTCTGTGTTCATTTTTGAAACACAGGGTTGTAGACAGAGAATCAATAGATCAAAAGGTGTCTAACACAATTCCTTTATTGGATCCTGGGTGCTAGAGGGCAGGTGGTGTTAACAAGATGTGTGATGTGTTTTTAGGGCCCCATGGGACCCACCGGGGAGCCAGGAATTGAGGTGTGTGCGATAAATTCTCTGTATCCACAACACAAACAAGATGTTCAAGTCGATTTTTAAAAATGTTCGTCCAATTAGCCATGGATCTCTTCTTGGCAATTTTGTTACAGCACTATTAACAGTAAGTGTGGGTGACTGTATAGGGCAACACTGCTAGCCTCTATCTTGGTATTTTTCAGGGCTCTCGTGGACCCCCGGGTCCATTTGGCCCCCCAGGAGCTCCAGGAAGAGAGGTGAGTTAGGGCAGCCTGTCCTTCCACTGTTTTCCACTGCCTTGCACGTTTACAGATAAAAGATGGCCAGAAGCATGGAGAAATGTCAGCTACCAACTGTGGATGAACAAGTACAATGTATCACAGCTCCTGGACACAAATCCCCACCAACTGAGAAGAGTGTGAAAGCTGAAAGTTATAGCCTTGCCTGTGTGCTTCATATCGTAACCAGAAGTGCTGTTAACTCCTTGTTCTGTCTCAATTAAAGGGCTCCCCTGGTAGGCCAGGTCCACCGGGGCCTGCTGGACCTCCAGGTGAACCAGTAAGTAAGAAAATCTCTGTTTTGCTTACAGCGGTTCAGCATCACTGATCAGCCATGAGACCTACTGAGATCACCTTAAAGTCAAACTCAGTATTCAGACTGTAGCTGCAGTTTTGGAATAATAAGTAGCTGTAGTTCTAGTGTTCAGCAACCGACACCACATTCAGGAAAATGTTCCAGTTTACAACAAATTGGCGGCCCCCTGTTGTTAGAGCATATTTTTATTCCTTTCTTGTGTCTTTGTGAGTTTCAAATGAGGAGCATTTACTAAAGTGCTAATAGCTGTAGTGTGAGTACCTCACCATTCCTACCGCTGCTGCATCAAAGCCTTGAAATTTTTGCATTTTAGCCCATTTATATTCATGCGTTGTAAAGACGCATGAAAGCCATTTATACCATTTTATGTTTTTTTTTTAAATGCACGGGCTTCACATCAAAATGTTGTTTTTTTTTCTCAGCTTCAGAGAACAACAATATTTTGAAGATTTGGGATCATGTCTTCCAAAATAACAAAGTTATTAAACCGTTTCCTCAAGCAATCCAGATAAAACTGAGAATGAAACACTTAAAGCAAACTTTGTTAAATATGTTCAAGGAAAAAATCGCATTCCAGGCATGTAAGTCAGTCTTGTGTGCCTTGTGATGTTTTATTAAAAGAAGCAGTCGAGCAAAAATAAACAACTGCAGAAATCTCAAAAATAAAGAGAGATGAGATTTGAAATTAAGGTTTTTTTTGTTTTGTTTTTTTTGCTTCTTTTTTCCTAACAGACTGCCCTGCCGATTTTTGGAGACATGGGTGCTTTGCTTAAGGTATTTATATCTCCATAGTTGATGATAATTGCATTGTTTTCACAGAACAATTGCATGCAAAAGCGTGAGGGTTGGTATTTAAATTGAACAGCATTTGCCAGCTTGAAACAGTACTATCCCACTAATACATGGATGCAATCACTTGAGAGATATTGTGAGAAAGCCCTTGAGTGCCTTCATCAGGATGACTGGGAGAAGGAGATCCAGAAAATAAAAGAAAACAATTTCACGAGAAAGCCCGGATTACTCATTCACCAGAGGTGCACAGTGTGACAACATGTTTAGTAAAGCCTCTCAGTGTGACAATGAAATATTGAAATATCACACAAGTGCAATGCAAATAAAGTGAAAAACAAGATTATAAAGAGATTACTGTCTCAAAAGATAAGATCGGCTTCAGATATGCATTGTATACAGTTTTACAGAAGAATAATTGCTAAATAGCACTTCTCCATTCAAACAATGTGTCACCACTTGATCCAAAAGCCTCAAAACACTCACGCAAAATGACTTCTCTTCTGCCCTAGCTCCGTTTTAATTGTCTCTTCTCTACATTTTACATTACTTAAACCTTAACCCTCAATATGTAAATCTGAACGAATGTTAACTTTTGGGACATATTATATAAGTTTGTCCCAAAATCAGCAGACAGGCAGCACTTTAAAACTTTTTTCTAACATATTCCTCATATATTGAAATATATTTTGTTACAGCAGTGCTCAGGATCCCAACCTTTCCTGACCAGTGCTGAATGTGGACCAGGACTACACAGTTAAACCTAATACCAGACACTCCTCAGTATCTCCTGAGATTATAGTACAGTGTTAAAATGGGATTAAGTACTCCTTTAGTAGCTTTTACCTTTCATAATGTGAACACTCTGTCAAAATAAATGCAATTCTTGTTTCTTTTCTCCCACTGACGTAGATTAGTCACCTTAGTACGTGTCGTTAGCTGCAGGACAGCACTTAGACGAATTAAAGCTTTTTCTTTTTAATGCTTAACATGCGTCAGCTCTGACAATAAATATAATGCCTTCACATGATTAATCATTGATAGATAAAGCCAGATGTCAGCAGACTTATTATTTTCTGTCAACCCTTCCTTCAGAGTCAAATTATTTTGTCCATTAAGTGCTCCGTTAGATTCATCTACTGTTTACAGCCTTCATCAGAGTCACGTAACGCCGCTGTGATTAGTACTCTTGACACCTCGATGACACCTTCAAAAAAAAGCGCTAAACACATTTAATACGGGTATTGTTTTTCTTTTCATTCATGTCAGTAACAGCATGCTCTTATTATTTTGCCATTGTGTTGAAGTCTTTGAAGATTAGGCTTAAATGGCAATATTGAAACGATGGCTTTTCATTTTATTTTTCAAATTTAGTGAGATTTTGTTGTTGTTGTTATTTTTGAAATGCATTTGTTTTTACTGCCTTTTTCCAACTTAAACTTCCTAATTCTTTTCTGTGCTAGGAGTAGAGTCTATAGTGTATCTAGAATAGCTCAAGATGCGATACAGTGCAATGCGATATGATGCAATATGATACAATGTAATGTGATAGGATGCAATAGGATGCAACGTGATGCATTATGGACAATATAATACAATACAATAGGATGAAATATGTGGGATGTGATGTAATATGATACGATATGCTGTGATATGATAAGATGTGATACAGTTCGTTAGGCTTGGATGTGATACAAGGCAGTACAGTACAATGTAATGCAATAAGATACGGTGAGATGAGATGTGATACAATATACATTTTTCTGGGGTCAGTGCTGAAATGCCATTGTAGATTTTATGTGCGCCGTAAGTATGTAGCTGGCAAAAAAAATTCAGTATCCACATGTAAAAATGGTCTTAGTAAAAGCTGTAAAGCAGCACTGCTCAAAGTCACTTGAGCAAAATATCTGGAAAGTCTTTATCAAGATCGAGTAAACTCGTTTTAAAATACTCAAATACAGCATTGCAACAGCTCACTAATCCTGCTGCACATACAGTATGTCCGAGTTACAACGTGCAGCAGTGCCAATGGAGTTGGTCCAATGATATTTAGGTTCTCACCTAAATGTCACAGTCAGTGAGTTTGACAAAGTTCACCACTCACCTCAGTGAGAGACACTCTTGGAGGCACTCTAGGTGGGTTCACATTATTTCTGCTCTGTGGACATTTTGAGAACACTTTATGTCAGTTGGGGTCTTGTCCTCCACCCAGGGGATGTGACATAATAAAGGGCGAAAATACAGTGTTCCAGCTCAGCCTGATGAAATCTTATCTGTGCTTCCACTTTTGCTTCCTGCCTTGCCTGCACTGGTAGAATGCCTGCAGTGTGTGCCAGACGAGAGTCCCAGGGCTGCCTGGACAGAAGGGAGAAAAAGGCTCCCCCGGAGTGCAAGGAGTAGAGGGCTTAGTGGGAGAAAAGGTACAAGTGACTCATTAGCATAGCAGACAATTTAGACAATTTACAAAAAAAATGTGACTTTGATTTGCATTGCACATCATGCTTTCAGTGCTCCTTCATGAATATTTTGAGTGCATGCTTGCGCTATTGAACACAAATCCATTATGGACTCCTTTTCCAAACAGGGAGATCCTGGGGTCAGAGGCCCGATGGGTAACCCGGGAAAAGAAGGTCCAAAGGTAGGCAAGAAGATGTCAAACGTAAACTTGTGAAATAACAAAAATGGATTTTATAAAGATATTACTATATGAATAACCCATTTTATCAGCATGACAAGAATGTGTAGAAGATATAGCCTTATTTTGTGATATTGTTTGCTTAAATGTGCATTTAATCTGCTAGACAAAGATTTGCACTGAAAAAAAAGCTTTTCATGAATTTATTTTTGCATTATTCCTGAAAGCCTAAGTAGCTGTTCCACAACTCATATTATTCTGAACACACTTGGGTTTTCACTGCAGAAGTTGTTGCTATGGATACAGTCTTGTACCATGGTGAAATAGGCTAGGCAATTTCAAGTTGTGTGCTGGAAGATGCATTTTGAAATTTATGCCCATCAGACTTTAGTTTAAGGTTGTTGTTTTTTTCTTCCCTTTTTCCTTGTGAAAAACATTCACTTTTCCCTACTTTATTGCTTCTGCTTTCCTGCAGGGAGTAAAAGGAGAGAGAGGGTTCCCAGGCCCTATAGGCGATAAAGGTGATGAGGTGAGTGAAGAAAAAGTTGAATCTAAACAAATTAATCCAGTGGTTATCTAACCAGGTCAGAAGTCACCGTGACATTGAGAAAGAGGTTTTTCAAACGGATGTAAATATATTCTAATGTTGGCCTCATCTTAAAGTCTGTCTGCTCTGAGAGTCTGTTTTCAAAAGAAGCTATCAAAAGCTATCCGCAGAGCTGCATTTGCACTATGCCCTATCTCTTGCTCTCCAAGGAACTACTTTATGAAGAACAAAGCCTGCCCTGCGTGTTTGTGTGTGTTCATTTAAAAAAAGACAGTGTTGAAAGCAGCTGAGAAGTTTCCCATAGGTCAGCTTTCAGCACTGAACTGCCATGGCAGAAGAGTTTTACTAGCAGGCACACTTGCTACTAGGTTATAACAGCTCAATAAAAGACATGTTTTGGTCAGATAGCAGGTTTATTTTTCTTTCAGTGATCAAAGAAATGCATGCAATGGCATCTCTAAAATATAGCAAACAATACACTATAGGGCCTAGTCGCCAAATAAATTAATAAAGTTGTCGCATGATGAAGTGCCCCACAGTAGAAAATGTGATGTTCTGCTGCTTCTGCATACTCAGATAAGCTCTAAAGGAAAGAAAATACAAGCATAAGCTCAGAAATCATTACAGTGTATAGAAAAGCTTTTGAATTCATCCTTTAAAATGTAGCATAGATTTTAACAAAACAGATGTGACACCACAATGACCAATAATTTAATTTATCCACATTTTAAGAATATATGCTTGATGTGCTCGGAGCAGCACAGCTGACGTTCAGCATGGCCACATAACTCTCCATCAGCACTATAGTGTTCGTACAATATAGGATCCAAACAGAGAACTCCAAGGTAGACAAAATAATAAAAGGCATGCCTTTTATTAGGTTGACAGAAAAGTCCAATAACTACATCCAACTGGGAGTTAATAGAGATCCCAGAAAACCACAGGGAGCCAGGAACAACAAGGATACACAGGCTGAAGGAATGGCTCTATCTACACACACTGAGCACTGATAGGAAACTGGAGACTAGTGGGGAACAGGACACAGCTGAACATAATTAATACAGGTGAGACTAGTTAGGGCACAAACAGGAAGTAAAATTAGAATGAGAAACGACAGACAACAAGCCACAAAGAGCTTCCAGGTCAGGAAAATGAAGCCAGTGCAGAAGTGCCCAAAATCTACATTCTATGTGAAAGCCACCAGCTGTGGTTGAAAATAAGACTTTGTGAAGTCTATGGAGAAATGTTTTTCCGTCTTGACCTCTGGAAAGACTTTCCTCCTGAGTTCATGGGCTCACTCACTCATTCTGATTCATACTAAATAAAAAATTAAGTCTATTTTGTAAATCTCGGCCATGTATGTTTCAAATTGGAGACATTTTCTATACTATGTAACCACGTGTGCATTGGCTAGCAAAATAAATCACAAGTCATTAGCCAGTGAGTGTGCGGTTTCACAGTCAGACCCACCCCTTCTTGTCACATCTGTTTTTTTGCAACCAAGATGGTGATGGTAGAAACGTTCATCTGAAAGCTTCAAAGAGGAACTTCAGAAGCCAGTTTTCGTGCTCTCTGTGGCCACAGCTGTAACAAGGAGACACTGAAACAAGACGGATGAACAAAACATAAATAAGCTCATTCAGGGAATGCAGAAAGACAAAGACAGAAGGAGGAACAGATTGGGAAACGCTGAGAGAACTAAACAGACAATTAACAAACTGAAAGTAGCAACTGGAGTGAAATACAAATCAAAATTCAGAACTAGGCAGGAACCAGAACTCAGAACTACAGACAGTTATTACCAGAAATCCATGAAGTAAGCGCAGAAATCAGAGACTATTTCTGCACATGTGTAAACCACTACATTATGAAGCCACTAGTGATGCAGAAAAATATTAATGTAATAATTCTTTTGATGATAGTAAGAAGTATATTTTAAAAAATAATAACTAATTTTGTCTCCTCTAGGGGCCTTCAGGAGCACCAGGGCTACCAGGTGTGCCTGGTCGAACAGGGGCCCCGGTAAGAAATCCGTCCTCCATGTGGTCTAAAATTATGCAAAATCTCTTTAATTGTTTCATACTATAAAATAAGTGTGCTATTCTGTTTGCAGGGACTCATGGGTCGACCAGGTCCAACGAGCCAGCCTGGACCCAAAGGAGATAAAGTAATGTTTTTACTATTTCTGTATTTTTCTGCATACCACAGGCAGAGTGCACGAATTTCTGGATTTTATATACAGTGTATTGTCAGTGGGAGCGCACATTAAATGACCTGCTGGTTACATGAGTGCTTTCAGCCACTGCTTTAAAGCCTGCGGTAAATTGTTTTGACAGAGTATATTAATGAAATTGCACTGTCCTCTTGTTTCCATGTGTGGTATCATGAATCTTAAAGACAGATTCATAAAACAGAAAAACAAAAAAAACTGCAGTTGATGAATACTTGAAAATATTAAATAATTTAAGATTTTCCCCAAATTTTAATATATGCATCAAAGTGCTAGAGAGCAGATAGACGTCTCATGAGATTCTTTTTTGTTTCCCAGGGTCGGCAAATGAGATTCACTTGATTACATTAACATGGGACTGTGGCCGATAAACATTTGCATTTTCACAGACATGTTTAAAAATTCCTCTGGCTTGTGTTTGGCAGGGAAATGAAGGACCTCCAGGTAGACCAGGGCCTCCAGGGCCTCCGGTAAGTTCCTGGTGCCTCAACAAGTGCTATCTGTTGATAATAAGTCTCAAAACCTACATTAGGGTAATAGATTACACATTATTTTGTTACTGGCACTTTATCCTTTTGGAAACACTCTTATGGTTAGCGAGTTAAATGCATGTCCTCAGCACTTATGTTTCCTCAGTCTAACAGTATTTATTGTATCAGGAAAAGCATAAATGACAAACAGGTACAAATACGATGAAATCGTCACGACCTGCACGCTGGCATTGAGTTATGTTTCTTTCCTTTAAAAGGAAAGTGAGTAAGCGCTTCCAAAGGCAAATCTATAATTCATCAGCTGTCCCCTTGAACCTGCCTTGCCCCCCTCCCCTCACACCCTGGCCTCATAAACTGCAGTCTGGGAGGACAAGAGATGGCTCAGTGGCCTGAAAAGGGCACGGGTATTCACTTGCTTCTAAATGAGAACCTTGACTCCTTCTACGTTTACAATAGCTGCCCTCTATCAATCTATCATGGGAAAAACATCATTATATGTTCTAATACTATACAAGAAGAGCAGATTACCTAGTTCTCATACCCAAATCTTTTTAATCAGTGTGCTCTTTTGTGTTTCTGAGGCACTCGTCTTTTTGGAATTACGACTGGCTCAAGGATTATTAAGTCTACGCTTCTCTATGTTTTTTTTCTCCTCTTTTCACTTCTCACTCTTTCTCGCACTCTCTTCCTTTCTCTCTCTGTAATCACCAAATGAGCTATTGATCTCTCTTATGTAGCTTTTAAGGGCTTAGCAGTGTATAACTGCTTCAGACCTACTGTACAGTTTTCTGTAAGGACTCCCGGTGCCTAGAACTTACATTCAATGAAAAGAGCCTCTTAGAGAAGATGTCTGATTTACTCTGGGTTGTGTTGTAGGGCAACGGAATGGGCAGCCTGTACAAGCCACAGGTAAAGATTTTAAAAAACTGCAGATCATTGTCATTGTGATCTTCTGAATGCATGGTGCTGTGCAGAGCCTTAAGTCAAATTTGCTAGAAAAAGATTCTGTGCTTGTTGTTTTTGGCCCGTGTTATAAAATATAAAAAAATTCTTTGCAGAGCGGTGGAGCTATTTTAGGACCCCCTGGAGCTCCCGGTGCTCCGGTAAGTATAATCATTGTTGTGCCTGAAGCAAATCCTTTACACTGAATTGTGGAGTAACACTAGCAAACAGGCATGTGGATACTGTCTGAGCTGCAGAGCCTGGGAGAGCTGAATAACAAATAGCCTGACCAGCCCTCTGGTGTTATCTTGGCTTCTAAGGCTATTATATCACAGTCAATCATGCTCATTGAGATCTGGTGGTTGGTGAAGGCCAAGAGGCTTCCTGACTCTCAAACAGGTGCCTCTTATCCACCCCAGGACACACAACATCATTGAAATGCAAAATGGACTTAGAAGTTCGGCTGCTCTGCACAGTGCCAAGCCGAAGTGACCCGATTTGCTTATCGGGTTCCCCCTGCTCCTCCTTATCAGACAGTTTGTAATCTTGTCCAGTCCTGAGAGACATTCAGTCACAGGCCCTGCAGGGATCCATCCACCAAAACGAACACTTAAGGTGGTGACAAAAAGTAGACACTCTGCTATCCCCAGTGCACAATGGACATGAGCCATAGCTACATCTTAAGGATGCTTCTCCCGGTACTGCATCCATCACAGGCCAACAGCACCACAGGAGCAATCTAAATAAAGGAGCATCTTCATCAGTGTTAAGGAGGATAAGCAGCCCAATTCATCAATAATTGCTTGTGCTTATTAATGTGGAAAATTGCTGGCTGGTGTTGTTTTAAGCCTTTTTGACTGGATTATATGATCCTGATCGTTTTAATTGCGCTTGAGACAATATTACACTATTAGTGTGATTTACACACAGAAAATAAGAGAAAAGGCAAGTAATAATGACTAATATAAATTTAAATGACAATAACATACAGTAACCACATGCCATTAAAGATGATATTTACGATTTTTATGGAAGCAGTTGTCACTTTCACGGGGGTAATATGTCCGCTCTCCCTCTCTTTCTCTTTTTAAGGGTCCCAAAGGAGATGAAGGACCTGCAGTAAGTTGAAGCTTTTCATCGTGGGCTATATTTTTTGAGGCATTTGGCTGTTTTTGTGCTCCTCGCAAAAAGTCAGAGTTGTCAGTTGCTTGCTATAATTATTTCTATGGCTTTCTACTGGATAAAATAAGTCAATACAGCCTCAAGCCCGAGCACTTAACCACTTTCAGAAGAACTCCAACACACAGGAAAAAAAAAGATCTCGACTCCTACAAATATGAAACCTTTGTACCATATTGTCTTGCCAGTGGGAACCCACAAACCCTCACTGCACTTCAAATGCCCATCCCCCAAACTCTGACGCCTGAAAACAGTCCACACAGACATGGGAATCATAAATTTTTCTCGGGCCCAGTTGCATTTTTTAAATTTTTCTTTATTTTTTTGTTTGTTTGTTTTGTTTCACAGTGATTTTTCACTGGCATGTTAATTTGACATTTTAATAAATTGCTCAAGCGTCCGCAATGCCTTGGTGGAATTGCCCCAATCCGTCTCACAGCTGATCCTCTGGCTGGCCCGCTCTTCCCGTAGCCTGAGTAACGTATTCGTGACAATCTACATGTGTGACAATTACCTGGACAATCCGTCTGTGTCAGTGCCGGTCGCCCCTCTATTCTGTGTAATGGCATTTCTCCATGGCAGCGCGAGCAAGATGAGGTGGATAGAGGCCATCACTTGCTTTAGCACTGGGAATGGCTCTCTATTTTTAGTGAAGAAAGCAGGTGTGATTGTGATTGTCAAATGGCTTTCGTTTTTCTAATGGATATAAAGCCTTCAAGGTGTGACAGCATGTGTCCTAGGTCATTTGAAGTATTGTCCTCTCAATACCTGACCGAGATTATCAAGATGAGAGCGGGAAATGTGTAAAATCTTGGCCCCTGCAGAATTAAATTTATTCGCCTTCATCCATTTTTGATCTATATCTGCTCATTTATGCATGATGGTCGCTTTATAATGACACTTGTTACCTTCCAGTCGCTTATCGCCAGCCTCACTCTAGGACTGTGAGACAGAAATAACCTCATTCTTGGTTGGAAAATGGGGAAAGCGAGGAGGCTTGGGTTTTTTTTTTTGTTTGTTTTTTTGTCTTAACATAACAGTTGGTGTATTTTTATCTCACAGGGGGAACCAGGGCCCATGGGATTACCTGGGCTTGAAGGGCTGCCGGGTGCTAAGGTAAACGTCAAGATACAAAAGTTTTCACGATGACCACCTGTTAAATTCTGAGAATTCCACATTTTTCTGAGCTGGAGCCAAAGTATTCATGTAATAATTAATAATTTGCACGATTACTTAATGAATTTTCCTTCATTAAAAAAAAAAGTCCTAGAGGCATCTTTTCACAACTTCCTGCCTTTTCTGTGCAGAAGTGTTTCCACTGATTGGTGGTGTGTGACTGTGTGTTTTGTGGAAGGTTGATGGGGGTGGAATATTTCAGTTTCTCTGACATCCAGAGTAATTTATCCTTTCAGGACCTGCTGTCAAAGGTTTGACATATGCAAAGCATTTGCTGTTGAAATATGAAGATCTTAAGGAAGTCATTTATAATAAATATATGTGTGTGATTTTTCTGAGGAGATATTTATAGTTTTTTATTAAGTGTTTCAGATTTTTGCATTGCACTTGTCCAGACACATAGCAGCCCAGCAGCTTTCATTATACGGAGTTTCTGATACCACTATCTGTGTGTCTGCTTGATGTGACAGTGATTTATAGTATTCTTTATGTTATGTGTACATTATCTACCTAATATGTTGTGCTTCCAGGGGGATATGGGTTTGTCTGGTCCACCAGGGATGCTAGGTCCTCCAGTAAGTCCTCCATTTTTTAAAATTAATTTAAGACATGCTTCTCTCTGATCAGTCATTTATGTTATTTAAGTCTGCCTCTGGCAACAAGTCAGTGATGGTTTTTTTTTTTTAAGTAGACAGAATAATAGCTCTCAATTCCTATAGCACCAAACTATTTCGATTAATAATGCTGCCTTACACCTGCAGTCTGTCTGTGCAGTGTTTTGTTGGGAAGGTTTCTTTTGTGCAGCTTTAGTATGCTGGTCTCTGTATTTTAAATGGAAGGTTACAGGGGTGCTGTAGATATCACACTATCGAGGACCTGTCAAACACGGTCTGTTCTTTTCCCATACTTGTGATTGACAGGGAAAGCCCGGCGCTCGTGGAGAGCCAGGGATCCCAGGAGAGCCGGTGAGCCTGAGCCTCTAACTCTCTTTGAGCTGTCAATCTGTGCGTCATTCCTTTGTCACTGCCGACTGACACATTGGCTGTCTCTGTTCTGTGACAGGGTGAGAGGGGTCCGCTGGGAGAGACAGGATTCCCTGGGCCCGAGGGACCCCAAGGTCTTCCTGTAAGGATGCTACACAAATTCTGTCGCTCTTCCCTTAATATTATCACTACTAGATGTTGACAAAGCACCTTCCAATAATGTCCACACTAGAAACAGTGCTATTAAAACATGGCCGCATAGTTGTTTTACCATTGTAGTGTGTGTCTGGAAGAAAAGCAACACGATTCAAGGACAATATGAATAAAATACATATGTTAGCTTCCGCTTGTCCTGTAGATGATTACATTGCTCCACATAATTACCATCAGAGATGGTTTCTGTAATTTTCCCTGTAAGCGCACAATGGAACAATGTTCGCACAGCAATCAGGATCATTATCCCTTGGTTGAGATATCTCATTAACTGTGGAGATTACTAGGAGTGCAACAGTGCTGATCCAATCGAAGGCGGGAGCTGATACAAGATGTCTTTGTTTGTGTTGCGCTTCTTGAGCAGGGGAGACCTGGAAAAGATGGAACTCCAGGATACCAGGTGAGTTGTGCGAACGCGTCGCAAATCCCCTTATAGAAAGTGCTTTACATCAGCCAAGCTACAGAAAGATGGCACAGCAGATTTTTATCCCCCCTCAAGCTACAGCGTGCTGACTGCATTAAAGCTATTTGCATATTTGAGATTTTAACGATTAAAAAAAAACCCTAAATGGAATCCTGCAGATTTAAGGCTTTGTTGACTTTTAGTCTTTTCACCCTCATTATACAGTTAATGCTTTCAGGCAATGATAAAATGTTTGTAATAGAGGGCAGTAGATGCTTCAGATTAAATATGCATTTTTCTGCCTGATGAACCTGGCCAAAATGGAAATAAATATGCATAAAAGTCTACTTTTATGTACCTGATCAAATCTACACTGTTTACTACATAATCACACAGAATGGTCTCACAGTATGGGCTTGAATTGCCATTCACTGCACATTATACAATCTAATACCCAAACTCGATTGACTACGATTATTACAGCTTTGCTCTGATTTACAATTTTTTTTTCACCTTACACCTTAATGACAGCCCAAGTACTTTATTGTTTTTTTTCCTTCCATTTGTTCATAATCTCAGCATCACACAGAGCCTTTCTATAGACGGGCACGACTTTTTGGTGGGGCAACAGTGCCATCTAGCAGATGGTATAGTTGCCTTCTTTAGTAAAATTCCTTGCACACTGCTTTGAGGTTTAATGTAATGCTCAGGGAAGCACATTTCAGTGGGCAAGATGATAGATTTAAGCCTCCCATCAGGCAGCGGGGAATACAGAGTACTGCAGATTAAAGCAGGCAGGGGAGAACGGCATCACAAAGCGATGCCCGCTTCAAAAACCACATCATGCCAGATTGTCTTTTGCATGGCTCCTGTAATCCAGCAGGAAATTGATACAAAGATGCTCCCAAAGGTATTTCTGTGAGCAGAGTAAAGGGAAGCAATGAGGAGTGACAGAGAGGGACTGGAAGACACAAGATGTTGTGACACGAAACCAGAGACAGGTATTTTCTCCCTGCTCCTCTGTACAGTAGAGGCAGCTGGTGGGAAGGCGTTCATCATACAAACCAGGAGTGATGCAGAGGATCCGTGACATTGCAGAAGGTGAAACACTATACGGGGAGGAATTATGCCTGAGCTGAGTAAGACGCAATCAGTGCAGCGTCAACTGAAAAGCGTGCATTCCTCAAAGTCAAATAATTCATAAGAATCCTCTGCAAACATCGCTTATAGTGGATTTAACAGAAATTCAAATGAACAAATTCCAAATGAACATATTAGAATGACTGAGTGTTGCTCGCGCCCTTACACAATCCCAAACATCAATGCTTTGTGTGCAGCTACTAAAAAGTTTCAGGGTCAGAATAATTTCCTTTTACTGTTTCACTGCCTTTTTTTTCTTCTTACTCCTCAACAAAGACCTCAACTATATAACTATATTTTTTCCTTTTTCCTTTCTAAGGGAGCTACAGGTAGACAAGGAGAACGAGGATCCAAAGGAGAGCGTGTAAGCATTCCTCTTTTCTTAAAAGGAAGCTATTTTTGTGACTCCAACTATAACGCACAACAAAAAGATTTTGATGAATAGTAATGAATAGTAATGAAAGTCTTCACTTCAGCACAAATATGACTAATCCCCACAAGCACATAAGCGCTAGATAAAGGCATTTAACGCTCAGTGCAGTTTGCTATTGTGTTTGCAAAAGCTTGGTCACACTTCCACAGTAATCTGTTGCAAACGCCTTTAATAGAGGATGCAAAATGAGGTTTTAGCTTTATGTTTGGCAGCAGAACCCCAGGACCAGTAACTAACTGGACACATTAGGAGAAATGGGTCATTGTGCACAGTATGTAAAGTTACAGCGGGACCTGAAGATTATAGTGACACTGATGCAGCTTTTTCTAGCCAGGAGTGGTAGCTGTAGCACATTCACATGTTTGGTGCCTCAACATCATACACAGGTGAGATATATCTGAGCTGCTACTTTTTTTTTAATGCTACAGGGTGATCCAGGAATTCCTGGAGAAAGAGGCGTTCAGGGCGAGAGGGGTCGCCCAGGAGAGCCCGGCCAAATTGGACCCATCGGTACCCAGGGGCAAAAAGGTGATCCCGGCCCTCCAGGACTCCTGGGGAGTGAAAGCCTCCTGGTGAGTTGAAAATTTTCACCGTAAACAAAGACAACCCTCCCAGATAATTAAAAAGCTTTACCGGGCAACTCGTTCCTTCGAGTTACCACCTCAGTTCTCATACACTGGGGGGGGGGAATGGTGTAGCTACAGCTTTCTGCATGAAACATCAAACAAGGCAGTGCAACGGGAACTTGCTGTTCTCTTTCTGCTCAGCGCTTCCCACTCCTGATCATCTAGGCGCAACAGAAGGTCAGAGAGGGAGTGAGACGGAAACCGAAAGAAAGACAGATATGTGGGCGTGCCTGGAGCTCTGCAGAGCAGCGAAAACACCTCCATCTGTCACAGACATTTTACACTTACTATATGCAGCCACAACCGTTATATAACACTCACAGGGATGAAAAACTGTTCTGAATGCAAAGATTTGAGGTCCAGGGGTACTATTGTTTGGCTTCCTAACTGGTACGGCACAAAAAAGCACCAACAATCCAGCTGAGAAAGGTTCACACAGCGTGTGCTGTGTGCTGTGCGTACGTGCTCTATGCATGTATATTATTTCTTTATCCTTCCATACATATGGAGGCAAATAGAGCCAGTGTGACAAGCTGCACTTTCAGTCTAAATAGGCAGTGCATTACTTCAGAATTGGAAATAAAGTAACACCACTTTAAAGCTATAATACCAAATTTAATATTCGCCTGCTGAGTTTGGGTTCAGACGTTATATTAAACTGCAATGCAAGGTAGGCTTTCAAGTCAGGAGGAAGCTTTAAAAGCTGAATTTAAACTGAATGACTCTGCCCTGCTTTTTGTCGAGTTTGGTTTGAACAATCTGCGTAGAAGAAATGTTTTATTTAGTAAACGTTCCAGATATCCACTTAATTATCATTTTTACTTGTATCTTTTTATTTTTATTGTCCCTTAATTGCTTTAGTTTCTCTTGTTAAGTGTTAAAATTGTGCTTTATCGCTATTTCCGCTCACAGGATGACTCCAGCTTTACAGAGGAACTCCGGATGTTTATCCGAAATGAAGTATCGAGGATTTTTGAAGGTAAAAAAACAAAGAAACGGAGTTTATTTTAATTAGTTTGGAGTACTTTTATTTTTTGTGTTGTGTTACCTCTAAGCATTCTTCTCTTGCTTCACAGAGAAGCTTTCTAGCAACAGCGGGCTACAGAAGACACCTGCAGGCATCTTAGCGTCGCAGATCCAAGGACCTCCTGGACCTCCTGGAAAGGATGGATTACCGGGCTCACCAGGAGAGCGTGGACCTCCTGGTAGGATGGCAGGCGGAACGGCTGCACCTTAATGCCACTGCTGGAAAAATACTATAATTTAAATATGAATGAATGAATAGAAATAACACTTGTAAAACCTGATTGCTGTTAATGAAACATGATTAACCTTAATTTATTTAATGAAAAGAAATTATATATGTACTCCTATAATTACTTCAGCAAACACACCGTGTGGTTTACCGAACCATACATTTAGCCAATTATATTTTAGAGAGGAAAGCGTCACATTTTTGTGAGATGCACCCTGTTGGTTGGCATCTCGTGTTTTTGTGATGTTGATTTGAAATGTTGGAGACTGGCTGGATTAGAGTCGGGCTTACACTTGCACTTTGTGCGGATTCATGGGTATTTCTCTCTTGCATAGACCCGTATATCAATGCAGACTGAGGGGCGGGGAGCAGAGGAAAGGCCGGGAGTGTGGTGCACAGCGGCTCTCTGGGAAATATGAAGACAAACGAAGAATTGGCTGTGAAAAAGAGAAAGTGTTATCAATGTGGACAGGAAAGAACCTCAGTATTGATACCTCACTCCAGGAAAGAAAGCCCCTAAAATGCAAAAGGAGCGTAGTCAGGAAAGAGGGTTGACATTCTTTTATCAAACTAATACAAATTTCTGACTGCTCATACAACACTAATGGTTTGCCGGTGCAGGCTTTGTACCTCAGACTTGCTTAGATTTGTACTGTGTCCGCAGCAGAACTATGGTATCGTGACTTTTAAAGAGGAGTGATTTGATTGTGTTGGTGCAGATCAAAAGCACCGCTGCATTGGCCGTTCTCTTTGAGCTTTGTTATCTACCTCACATTATTCAAGACCATTTACATTTTAACCCACTGCTATGATATAAAGGGCTGCTTTCATTCACGAATGTCTCCAAATTAGCCAGCTACTCAACTCTAAATATTTGTGCGTTAATGCCACTGGCGTTTACACATGTCTTGGACTTTATTTTGCTTGTTTTGTTTTTTTACGCTTCCAAAAAAAAGTGTTTTATAGGTGATCTTTAATGCAGCTTTGCAATAAATATTTATTGAAAGCAAAGAGGAAAGTTATTTCCCTTGATAATTCAGAAATTCAACAACTTCTTAATTTTTTTTTTTCTTTGTTGACTTGGGCCTTGAGAGTTTGGGGTAATATTTCCTCATTATTTCTCGTCATCCTCCGCTGGAGACTGTGCTCCTCTGGAATATCCAATTTGACTTCTTCTCCAATATGCCGAAATGAATTGTTTATGGAGAAAAATAACCCCTCTGTTGAGTTCACAGTTTTTTCTTTTCTTCCTTTCTTCTGTCTTTGGTGTGATTTCACATGGGTGAAAGTCTCAAGCTGTTAAGAGAACGCCCATAGGGGCTCATGCTGGAGAACACCATTTCTTTATTTCCTACTTTGTTGTAATTAAGTGCTCATTTGTGATTCATCGTTCACTTTTGGGATCTTCACAAAGTTTCTCTTTGATGAAAGCCATTGTGCTCAAGTGCATATTTCATCAATTTTGCTTCTTTTTTTGTGTTCTTGTTTTAACATTTGTTTTGTATTTCAATGCATTCTGTGTAACATTTATACTGAGTGAAACAAACATGTCTGTAAACTCTGTTTGAAAGCTGCTCTGTTCTTCCTGTGAGATGGACATATCAGTAAATAGAAAGAAAGTTGTTGTTTTTTTTTCTTTCTTTTTTGTAAGACACGGTACGATTAAGTAGATGTGTCTTTTAATATTGTATACAACAGCGTACAACAGGTGCAGGTTCAATGAAGCATGAAAAACCACTGTTTGCCAGTATTATATTTTGTTAACTTACTTTGTCCATTAGTGCCCCAAGACACAATTTGTTTTCAACTAAGTACGCAGTGTGGCATTTTTCGATTTATCAGACTGCACCAATCCACCGTGGCCCCCAAGCTTATTGCCCTGTGTGCTATTCAGAAATTTTTTATTTATTTTTTTTGCTCAAGGTACAGTGCACTTTTCTCCATGGAACGTCTCCTGCCTGAATGAATGCCCCGGGCTCTGTGAGTGTTGAAAGAAGTCTCATTATTGTGGCAATGTGTGGATAGCCCCCCTTTTTTTATTTCTTTGAGATTCAGTTTTGGAGCATTCATAAGCCTTTTTTCTGAGATTTTCTCTGACATGTAAGCGTTGGAGCGTTTCCCCTTTGGGCCAAGCAGTGAAATGCTTGATACTCCTGTCAATGTTTCTGATGCACTCCATGCAGCCACTGGTTGTGAGACTCCATTACTTTAAGTGCCTCGTGGGGAAATATTTTTTGCAGCCTCTCAAATTCTTACTTGGTATGCTGCTGTTTTGAACTGTAGACGTACTGGTTTTTGCATGCAGTGAAAAAGCCCTTGAATAATATGATTGTTTGCATACAGTTAAAAGCAACCGCCTGCCTGGTCTGACTTGAAGATGCGCGAATGCTTTGAATTTTCTTTTGACACACTGAGCATGCTCACAGTTTGTGTTCTTTCTTGGAGGTACTCAGGCAGCAGCCAGTCTCCAGCATAGGACAGAGTGAACATAATGAGCATCAGAGTAAAGCGTCTGTCATGAATAGCCACGATTGTTTGCAGAGTTCACCTTTGACTTGGCCTACCTTTCCACTCTCTGAATGCCTTTAGTGACCAACGTGTCTGATCTCTGATTGTTAAAAGCCTCTTGTCTCTGTTTTGAAATCGTCAAAGATGTGATGTGTGCTGTTGTTAGAAAGCTGCACAAATCCACAATGCAGTGGTCTGTTTCCACTTCACCTACTAAGGGTGCATCTCTCAAAATAAGTGCATACTTGATACCTGACACTGCTGTCATCCTGATTATACATAATTGAGAAGCTGTGCAGTGTTATTAGGACTCCGTTGACAAATATAAAAGTTCCACAAGTGTGTCCTCATTTTGACACTTTGTCGTGCTTTGGCATTTGTACTAATCTTACTAACTGTAATTCAAACTGTGTAGAGATGGCACCACAACAGGACTGCTTTAAGTTTGTAGTATTTGTTTTCTCAGCCACAATGTTGTGTGTGTGTTTGTGTCCACAGGAATCAGGGGTCAGAAAGGAGAGCGAGGCCAGCTTGGACTGGGGTTACCAGGAGATCCAGGACCCACGGGGCCACCAGGTAAGAACACCTTATGAGTAGAGCCGTTTTAGTTTGAGTGTTTAATTTGATATGCTGTGCAAAATTCTTTATCCACCCCTCATTTGTTAGTATTTTGCTTCCAATGAGTCTTTCTGGTCATTTTTTTAAGTGTTCATGAGCAATAGTTTCCAGGCTTTCTAAATCCAGCAGGCATCTTGGCTTTTTTTTTTTTTACATTGGAGACTTTATCTATATAATACCTTACACCATCACCAGCAGTTTTACAGCAACTCTGAAGCAAAGGACAACGCGTAAAGTCAAAAGGGTCAATTAAAGTGCTGAACATGCAGAGAATTACCACCCATCTCTGCTGTTCTCCTCAGTTCTATGGAGCATTTTACTGTCTTTAAGCTCATTGTTTTAGTTTTATGGACTGCAGAGTTACTGTTTTTGTTCCCCCTCACCTCTATCAACATTGTTTCAAGCCACAGTCAGCAACTGGATTTAGCATAGCTCATCATATACTGATTGCCTCTTTTGACACAGTCCTGTGTTTTTAAATGTTCAAATAAGAAAGTGTTTTAATTGAAAACTCTCACTAACCATCAGCCATATACTAATAAAATGGCAGAAACTATGCTATTTGCACCTATGTATAAGGGCACTTCTGAAAATTGCCCTCCTCGTGTTTTAATTATACAGCAGGTATTAAAATGATCAGGAAGAATAACCATTACATTGACCACCCCTCCTTTCGCCATTATTTATCAGGCTTTTTTAGCTGCCCCCAAGAAGGAAAGAAATGCGCCAGGGCTGAGTCAAGTCTCCAGCCTTTAATTCTATTTCAGCCTTCATTTGGTTTCTCAGCATGTTAGAGTCAACTTGGCTTCTAGATTGCATTATGTTCTCAAAAAACCCCTGTGCTCCTGCGACATAAATAGGACCCCAATAGAGGATGAATTTGGCGGTGTAAGAAAATGACTTCCGCTCTATAAAATGAACTGCTTGGTGTTGTCGTGAACAAAAGGAGACAAACCAAGATGTCAGCATGTCCTTTGTCGTGCAAACCTCACCATATCTTGATGGAAGATGAGGAGTGGGGTTAACTTGCTGATTTTCAGCCTGTGACTGTAGGAGTGTATGTATGCACATAATGCATGTGCAGGGGAAAGATATCTTGGCTGTAGCTCCACTGGAGAGGACAAATCACAGCTTTTGAAAGACATCATCTCTGTAGGCACACAGTTATAAGAAGCACCTGCAGCTCAACTGGTTGGGGGTTAGAGTTAAGCTGTAGTCACGTCTCAGGAAAACCTTGAAAGTGCTTAAACTAAGTGCTATCAACGAGCTGGCCCACTCCTCTGGTTTTCCTGGTGGTATTCTTGACACTAGCCGTACATAGAGCAGGTTCCCCTCAGACTCAGACTGGGATATGTGAGTCACGTAAATGAAATTTGCACAGCTTTGATTTATCAGTTATAATATAATAAATACATAAAATAAAGGGTAAGAAATCTGTCTGGCAGGCTCCACAGGTCGATGAATCAAGGCAGTTCTAATTAATCAGTATTTTCAAGTTGTTGGGTTTTTCTTTTTGAGAAGTGACCTCATACTGTAGTTGCTATCTTTGCCTCCACGTGTTCGTTCCCTGATGTGCTCTGATGGTAATTAGACCTGAAGGTGCTGCCGTTGGAGTGCATTAGTTCTGAATTGTGCCAAATTAGCAGGGTAAAGCTATCAGCTGTACAAAGCCACTTAAACTTGTTGTATTAACAAAGAGAATTAACAAACTGGAACATAAGGTACTTTAGATGATTAAGGTTTTTTTCCTGTATCTTTCCACCGCCACGATACTGTGGATAGTTTGTCTGAGCACTTAAGCAGTAGATGGATGTGGCTCTGATGGAAAGGGCAAGTTGTGTTTTCGCAGGGAGGTAAAGGACAAGGCAGTACCTGCAATTCTCTTTGTACAAACTATAGTGGAGGCAAGGCTCCCTCGAGCTGTGAATGGGTTGACTGATGTAATGGACACTCCTGTGGCAGGACTGCAGTGGAGGGCTTGTTTTTGTTTTTGTCTCTTGTCTTTTTTTTTGCAGGCTTTCTGAGAAAGAAGGTGTTATTCTTGGTGTTGTTTTCGTATATGAACAATGTATGAGAGACCATGAAGCAATGCAGACCGCTTTGACACTTCAGCAAGCTGTTGCTAAGTAACATGAGATACTAATGTCTCATCGGCCGCGATGACCTCACCATATCAGACAGCGAGGATGTGTTCTTCCTCTCTCCTCCATTCTCATTACAGAGAAACCGGAGAATTCATTAATTGTAAATGAGATGTCCTCAGTTCTGAATGATCCTCCAATGCAGCTATATAGTGATCTATTGATACTCACTGCAGTCCCACTTTGCATTACATCAGAGGAGCATTTCTCAATTAAATGAAAGTAAAGAAGAAGAAGAAGAACTGCGACTGTAATTACAGACTGATTTTTTAAATTGATTTTAAAACTAAACAAATTAAATGCAATTTAAAATGTTCTAAAATAAAAAGACCGTGTAGGAGCTGCACCTAATATTTGTTTTTTATTTTTAATTAGCCTTGCAATTAGTCTTTCACGCTTTGAGAAACTGGAAGCAGCAAACCTTAGAATGGCTGAGTCATTTTCTGATCAAATATTGACTAAATTAACTAAGCAGGAAGTTTTATCTCTTGTGCTTTGAAATGCTGATGAATAATTCTCAATAGGAATTGTCGTCTGCTTGACACTTGATTTCAAAGACACTGCTGGTTTAAAAAAAAAAGAAGTATACATTAGTGAATATAAATGGAGCAGATCTGCTAACAAACCAAAGGTAAAAATCTGCCTGGTTCTTGTTTTAATTCTTCTAAACATGTTTACAAAGGTAACACTACCCTGGATACACTGGCTAACCTTTTTGCTTGTAACTTGCATTTAAGTAAAATAAGAATACACAATTCCCCGATGCTTATTTCCAGTGGTGAGTTCAATTTAGGACTTGCAATACATTCACGATAATAAAGAAAAAGGCCCTGCTAGCCAGCCCGCTCGTTAGTCGAAGGAAATGGGGAAAATGCAACTTTAACAAGAAATGGCTTGAGAATAGTGATTTATCTTGGTGGTTAAAGCTGGCGGCTGGAAATACTTACAAAGCAGATTGCTCTGTGAATGGAAGGGGTTTCTTTGTCTTTGTTTTAACATTAATAAACCTATTTGTACATGTGTTTGTACAACGAATTTATCTTACCACACTGCTAATTTTGAACTCGTGTAGCTTTCTTTACTTGGAGATAGTATACTTTTAATACTCCGTGCAATTTCGAGGTCCGTGTGAGTGGTGAGAGCGGGACTTCCAGGCGATGATCTAAATGTAGCAGAAGCACTATAATGTTCACAGCTGGCTACCCTCCATTTGTGATTCTGTACAGCTCGCCTGTATGGACAGTGAATGGCTGTGAGTGTTTGTGAGGGGAACATGTGCCTGCTTTATCACTAATTGAAAGCTCTTCTGAATGATGATAAAGTGCAGCCTGGTGCCGTAATTAATGCACTCTAATTCTCTGTGAAGGCCCACCTGGGATCTCTTCTCGGGGCCCTCCTGGCTCTCCAGGGCCCCGTGGACCCCCCGGTACTTGCGACCCCAGCAACTGTCTTCTTCCATCTTTGTGAGCCCAGCAGAGGGGTTTGAGCTATTACGAAGACAGCCATCCGGCTCTGAGCTCAGTGCTGCAGCCACACAGCAGGGGAAGTCGGAGAGACTCACCGCTGACCTCTTTCTTTTTTTCACTTTACTAAAACACTCAGATGCTGTCTGGGTTTTGTTTTTGTGGGATTGCTGTTGGGTTTGTTTTGAATACAGCTGAAATCTCTTTGCAATGCAGTACTTTTAAGTTATTTTCCTTTTTTTAAATTTCATATCCTCTACTGTGACGTGATGCATTCCTTGTCAACTCTCATGTCTTTCAAGACCATGAAATGACTCCTGTCTGAAAAAAAACACCATCTTAATTATGCGTTTGCCTCTTTAATGGGCATGTCTATGCACTCTTCTGTTCGCACTCAGATAAGCTGGTGTGCCGACCGAAGGTACATCTCATGTTTCTGTGTTCTCGTGTGTTTTTGCACGAGTTTCTGTGTGTTTGAGGAACAGATTAGCTTAGCGAATGTACTTATTGTACGTGGAGGTGTGAGAAAATAGCAGATTTATGAAGCGCCTTATGTAACCAAAGTGCAGCCGACGTGTCTGATATAGAAATTATTTATTTTAAGCCGCATTCTGCAAGAATGTATTTTCAAAATGGTCATAATGAATGTAGGAAATGTAGCATGAATATTGAGTGACGTTGTTACTAGAAAGTGGATTTTCGGATTACCTGTAATCCCGATGCAGTCTCTGGTGACACGTTTGCGTCGTGTACAATGATCACTTTTAAAAGAAGCTGCCGTATAATTGTCGGTTAACGCGTCTTCCAGTTTTCTGCAAGTCACGAGTTGTTAACTGAGCGCTCGTCGGCGAGGATTGCCAAAGCTTTTGTAAGACAAAACCAACAAACAGCTCAGTGACACTGTTTGTCTGGAGCTTCTTTTTTTAGCCTTTTACATCATTTTTCTCCACATGAAATGAATGTAATTTAAATGGCGTTTGTGTTCAGTGATTGTAGCGTGACCCTTCATTTAGCTTTACTGTGGAGTTAATCTGTAAATATTGTGTATTTTCAATTTTTGTTTTTCCTTTTCATTTTTCTTGTGTAATGGGGTGCGTTAAGGGACCTGAAAACATCATTTTCATCCATTTTTTGTCATTGTAACAACACGTTAAGGTTCTCACCTGTCACACAGTGCTGCAAATTATTAACACATATTGTTTACAAGGTGTCGTGTATGACAATTCCTCTGGTTTTTATGTATATTTTTGATTTTCACAAACACAAAGGAGATCAGAATACTACACTACAGCTAACAGACGCATCAAACTTTTCATGTACTTGAACTTTCTTGTAATCGCACCGCGGTGTTTTTAACAGTTGGGTTTCAGGGAGCTTTGAGACTGGATTTATTTATGTGCTATGAATTTTCTGAAACCTTTGAAGCCTGTGCATTTTATCTAAACAGGTCGTGTAACTGTAGTGTAGATCCTGTGCAGAAACACACATTTTAAGAACTTAAGTACGCTAAAGATGACAAAGGAATTTTTTTTAAAATCCAGCATTTACACATTGGATTTTAGTTTATTCACTTCTTTAAAAAGTTTTTGTTCTTTCAAACTTTATAATCTCACTAAACAATAACTTTTTTGTGTAGAAGAAAAAGATAATTAGCCTGTAGTGTATATTGGTTTCCTCAGGTTTTCATTTTGAGCTCTGTTTAATTAGAGCTTGATGCAAAGGCTTTAATTTTACTTTTAAAGAGTCCTGCTGTGATTCATGTTTGAAACGTTCTTTGTGTGTATCTGAAATTTTGTGACATTAAGAGCTCGGTTCTTTCTGTCTCTCCTTTAACATCTGCTGTTTGACACTTTTTTCCCTTTGTACTTCACAGTCATTATTCTTCTCTTATACATGTAAATTTTAACTCACATCTTACAGATTTTTTCCCCCTTTTTTTTTTTTACATTTTTCTCAGCATGCCAGCTTGGTTTTATCTCTGCTAAATTTTATCAGACTGGGTGGGTTTAATTTTAGAGGAGTACTGAATCAAACGCTTGCCACAAACTTCATTTGTGAGTTGAAAGAGCCCCCTGCTGGACTTGTATTTCATTGCTTTTGTAATGTGAATGGGAAACTATTATTCTTTGCTTTTGTAGGCCACATAAAATCCCCTCCTTCTAGGGGCTCCTGTCTTTTCATCAAAGTAATTTTCATATTCGGTTTTAATGGGTTCCCGTCAGAGACAATAACACTGACCTTGATGAGATTCAAATGAGACAGCATCAGCAAACTAATGTGACCTAAACTTTTTCAGCGTGCTGATGAAAGCACCTCCCTCCATATATTGAATTTAGCTTCAATTGATATTAATGTGCACCAGTTTGTGGCTTCAGTTTAGCTAAACAGCATAATAAGTAGGGAGGACACAAATTGGCTGCTGATGACACAGCTCACTTCACTAGAAATTTGAAGCCATTCATATTACTCCAATTGTTCTAAGTGGAAAATGTCAGATGAAAGCAAACTCGTGGACGGAGTCATTGAAGGTTGAAGCGTCCTAAAACAATAACACCGCTTTCATACGTGCACGTGTTTCTTTCTTTTTTCCTTCTTTTTTTTTTTGCTTTGCATATTCTCTCCAGTAATGTAAGTCGATCCGGTTGCCACATGTGATCTAATCTTGTAAGCAAAGCCTGTAATGAGATGTAATATGTAGCAGACTCTCAGCGTGGTCCCTAGGATTAAAAATGTCTGCCTGCTGGTCTCAGTGAAACTGATCTCTGCTCTTTTATAAGCTCATGTTGTGCCGTGTGACTTCAATGTTTGTTCTTTGTTTGAACACCTACCTCAGTCTTGGTTTACCACAACTACATGATTAGATTTGTTGTTGTTGGGGGGGAGACACCAAAACAACTGTTGCCTTTTAACTGAAAAAGCGAATGAAAGCCTCATGTCTATGTAAAAACACACATATTGCAGTCCTGTTATCAGCTGACGTGCTGATGGGATGACAGAGAACAGGCGCAGTGATGTTCCTGTTGTTGGGGGAGTGTAAGGGGGAGTGGGGGGGTGGGTGGTTACCAGGCATCAGAGGTTATACTTTACAGCCTTCTTTGCAGCTTCTTTCATTTACACTGATTAATGGCATCTGCCTTACACGTGTGCAATAAATGTTATTCAGTGCGTGACTTCCTTGTATATTCTGCACTTACACTTCTTTTCAATAAAACTTTATTCACAAACCTGATGCTGTTTCTGTGTTAATTATTGTTCTTTTGTTTTGGGGGGTGGGGTGGTAGCCAGTTTACTATTTCAACATGCTTTTTTTAAATGTGGTAGCGTAAATAGCGAGGGATATGTGTCAAACTAGTTTGGAATTGAACTTATTTAAGCAGCTGTGACATCAGAGAAACAACTGAGGCAAACATTGTCACTGCAACAATTATTTAGTAGCTGCTCTGGAGAGTTTTTGACTATGTCATGAGGAAAAGTGCTTATTTCTTAGAAGAAAATGGAAATTTGTACCTCTGTAACTGGGAACGCACCATCTGCTGCAGAGGATCTGGTGATGTGATTGAAAGGTGCGAACAGCTGGCAGATTGTGAGACTGTTTAGTCAGTTATGACATTTGTATTTTATTTCATTTTTAACTCCGAGGTTCTTGGAAAAATGGTTAAGAATCATTTCCTGATACTCTTTACAAAATATCTTTTTATCTTTAATCACACCGGTATACAGAATAAATTAAACACTCCATATGCTGTCCTGTGTATTTCTTACTTTGATGATGGTTTTCCCTCATCCCTCAAACATACTCCCACATATGCACAGCTGTGCTCTGTTGTCATTCTTTACAATGAGGTAACATTTCACATCAGGGGGTTTGTAGGGAATAGAAGTAACCACTGTTCAGTTTTTACAGATTTACACCATACAGCAAGCCTGAAAAGACAGTCAGAAATGTAAAACTATATATTCAAAAGAGGGTATCAGAAAGGTTATCTTTGGAAGATCAGCTCATAGAGACCATGATGGTTTGAAACCCTCAGCTCCCCCAGCTCCCACCCCCAAAAAATCCTCATCCTGATTTAATTTAGTTAATTATTTGAGATGTTCTGGGAAAAAGTGGAGGAAAAGAAAGAGCTTTTATTTCGGAAAACTAGTTAAGGGAGACCACAAAAAGAAAATTCAGGCAGAGGTACAAGGAGAGTGGGATAAACAACCATTTCTGGTCATTTTTATATGTCGGAAATGGGAGCACAGTCCTGAATATATCAAAACAGCTCTCAGGTAGAAAAAAAACACACCAGAACAGGCTAGATTTTTGCAGCGCATAAAAAAATATATATATGTGTGTGTTTTTCCACGACTCAAAGAGGCTGGCTGCTTCTGATGGAGATGTGGCTGGCACAAAACATGCTCGTAAGACAAGAGGTTAGCGAATCAAAGGCACTGTGCCAGCTAGAGCCCCTGGGAAGAAACTGTGAAAAATGCTGTGTGCTCAGGGGAGATAATTCGACAGTCTTTCTGTTCTTTGCCAGAATGTCTCTTAGTTTCCTGCAGGTCCCTTCACATCCAAGGACTGCTGCGCAGCTGCTGCCTGAAGGTTGCAGGCTGATGGGTCACAGTAACCATTAGGACCGGCTGGACCCGGAGGCCCGGGCACACCGAGCTGTCCAGGAATGCCAGGAGGTCCCCTCTGCCCATCCTGACCGTCACGGCCATAGCCAGGCCTTCCCGGTTCCCCTGTGATGACAAAATATGCTTTACTTAATTGCTGACTTTAACAAACAGGTTAACATTTATCCTTAATGTAACAGCTACTCACATGATTTATTATAAAAGACTGTTGGTTGCTTTTCAATAGATTAGATTTAGCAATGTAGGCTTTATTATTTTATTTTTAGGTTGTTTAACTTTTGTAATGTGTAATTGTGCATGATGATAGTCATGCAGAGATAAAAATGTACTCACCAGGAAGTCCAGGTGGTCCAGACTGACCTTTCGGTCCTCGAACAATGGGTCCTCTGGCCCCTCTGTCTCCCATGTCACCTGTAAGACGTATTATATAATGATATATAATTTATTTACAAAAAAGAAAAAGAAAAAAAGAATTGTGCCGTTGTTTTGTTTAATGTCTAATTAAAAAGCAAATAAGGAGAGCGCGTTCATCACCTTTGGGTCCTTTTGCTCCCATCTGTCCTGGTGGCCCTTTGAGTCCTGGAAGGCCTCTTGAGCCAGCATGCCCGGGGAAGCCATTGTCTCCTGGAGGACCAGGAGGCCCCGGTGGGCCGGGTTTTCCAGGTAAACCAGCAATGCCAGACTCTGGCCTCCTTAAACTAGCAGCTAACTGAGTCAGCTGTTCTGTGGAAGCGCAACAGAAAGATGATGAACCATTAGGTGAAAAACAGTCACTGAATGCTTCTCAACAGCTCTAGTTGATAGTTGTCAAGGGCACTTTCAAGGCATAACACTTGAGAATAAATCATTTGTCACCAGAAGGCTCATTTCTAAAAACTAATGTCACACTTAGGTCCGAAACAATTCTCACGTGGGAGCTCTTAAACTTGAGCACTGGACACGATCGAGGTGAAAGTGTGGTCATGATATCCCTCAAGCCTTTCCTGCTTTTAACCTTTTTCCATAGGACACCAGTAAATTGAGCAGAAAGGAGATAATATTCTTTATTTCAACCAATCAGTGACAGAAAATTTATGTTCATGGTGCAAAGGATCTAATATTAAACTCCCGTGGCTCCCTTCTGCATGGTATTTTGCACTTAAAATTCCAGTTTTCTGGCTCCTGATGAAAATTCATGCTGTAGCTGCTCGACTGCTCTTTTTTTTTCTCCTTTTTTTTTTAAAGATTTCCTTCCCAGGCAGACTCTTTGCTTGGAGCAGAGGAGTGTAGGTCTGCTGGAGGTGAAATTAATTTTTCAGCACATCGGGTATAAAATAGTCATGAGGATAGGAGATGAGTTGTGAAGACGTAAGAGCAAAAGAATGAAGAGAACAGAGGTTGTGACTTCGGTGAAACATTTCTAAAACTCGGAGGAGGGATCTTTCATCCATCAAATAAACAAAGGCTGAAGCTTATTTCATGTTTTGGCTATGAGACCTTCGCTTTTTCAACTTCAGAGTATTCAGCAACCACCCGGATAAATGAGAAAATGCAGCCGTGGCTCTGTGTGTGGTTGTGTAATGAGGCATTCTGGGACGTATTAAAGTCATGAAATGAGGCACGGGGGAGTGATAAATGGGGTCAAAGGCCTATCTTTTCTTACCTTGCATGACTCGCATGCAAACTTGTTTGATGTGCTGATCACTTGGCTGTTTACCCTAGAAGGGAAGAAGGAAAATGATGACTTAATAGATTTCATGACAGAGTTTAAGGCATTTAATGCAGAGATTCAACAGTGAAGCAGACCATCTTAAAATGAAAGATTATTAAGTCCTCTTTATGTTGAGAAAACACTGCTGTTCTTAGGCTTATATAACAGGATTAACAAACACAAAGTGCACAGTGGTAGAGCAGAATACCAGGCTTACTTTCTCCTCTCTTGAAAAGTTGACATTTGTGGAGATACAAGTGTTCCCCTTACAACCGCACAGGTGTTGAATTTGAATTTGGGATTTCACTGATCTTGACAAGGAAGCATTCCTTTTGCTCACCTCCCTGTAGAGGGATGCCAGAACACCGGCAAGCCGGGGGCAAGTGGGGATTCACTTCACGCAGACTGAAGTATCAGGTGGGTGCAGAAACTTCTAAGATATCAGTGAAACAGTATTTCAGGAGCATCTTGAATTTTGGAGTTTAGTGTACTCACTGTTGATATATGACACTCGTCTGTGTTATTATTTATTTTGCAGTATTATTAGTATATCAAAGCCATCAAAATAATAAAAGTGTGTATGGCTGTGATGAACCCTATATTAACTTAAAGCTTAACAATGTGTCTTTTCATTAACCTGCTTATTATTATTCTGAGGAAAAAATATGTGAGATTATATAATTACTTCCTAAATACATTTTAAAAAATAAATACATACCTACATGCATAAATTTATTTCTAAAAAATAAATGAATGGCATTATGACGCAGTGAGCTCACAGAAACAACGCCCGCAGTTCAAATCTAGGCCCAGGTACGGTGGCGCTGGGAGGTCAAAAGTACTGCAACTTTAAAAAAAAAAAAATCACAAAAACACAACAAAGTGTTTTTGGGAAACATTAACGTGACAGAACAGCTGCAGGCGTTACAAGCTAACAGTAAGCGGCTAATAGAAAGCATGTAGCTACAGTATATAATGAATCATGTGACTAAAACACACAGTACCTGCATCTTTTTCTCCCTCTCCACAAATGAATCTTCCGCTTCTTTTAAAGCGTCTCAGAGCGATCCTACACATGCTTTGGTTTCTGTCAACTTCTGCATGTCATGTTATTGTCTCCTCAGAAACATGCCTGTTTTGTTTCGTGTATTTGACCTCTCAGGGCCACCATGAGTCTGTTGTATCCTATAGATGTATCATTTCACAGTCTTAAAGTTTTGTTCAAGTTCTATCTGAGTATTATCTTGTTTTTTAATTCACTTATTAATTATACTTAGAATTCTTTGTGGCTTTTTTTTTTAAGTAAAACACTAAACATACACTGAAATCATTGCATTATATGGATTGATCGTGTTTTTGCTTACTAAAGCTGTGGAAAATGTGGCATGTTTGCATACTCTGTAACACATAAGGCAAATCCTTGATTCATTTTAGAAACCACTTGAAGAAACAAATGACAGATAATGAAATTTTAGCTGGGTTCACATCACTTCTGCTGAAAACCATTTATATAAGACAAAATTGTTATTTTATGTAGTAACATTTATTTATTTATGTATTTACAATTTGACTATTTTATTTATTACATTTACAGTTAATTGTAAGCCTTAGGCCCGAGAGTTTGGTTCATGAGTGGTAACTACTTTCTCTTGGACCTACCGCAGGACCCTGTGTTCCTCTGACTCCAGGTGGGCCTCTGTTTCCCTGCATGCCCCGTGGTCCAGGTGTGCCAGGTGGTCCTTCAATGCCAGGCTGTCCTCGACTTCCCTCGGGACCTATTCTGCCAGCCTC